GTATCGATAACGTTTTCTGTCACAATGAAGTATATGACAAATCTATTATAAATTATCTGAGCTCTGATCATCTTGGTTTAAAATTCTCAATAAATGAAAACATTACTACAAGTGAAATTAAGATCAGGTGTAGACCAGTCACTGCTAGGAGACTAAATTCTTTTAAAGATAAAGTAGCACAGCATGTATTCCATAAAGATATCGGAGTCAATAACCCCAATGATTGTTATAGATCAATGGTTGATTTTCTCATAACTTCCTATAATCATATTTTTAAACCCCGCACAATTGTTAAAAAATCAAAAAAAAAATTTAGTGACTGGGCAACAGTGGGTATATATAAAAGTAGGGATTCACTGTATGAATTATATAATATGAGGCAGTGGAATCACGACCCTAATTTCCATAAACGGGTACAAAATTTTTCAAAAATATTTAAAAAAGTCTGTATACATGCAAAATCTATCTACATAAGAAATAGGATTTTAAATTCTAGTAATAAAATAAAAGCTACATGGGACATCATTACCTGTATATCTGGAAGACCCAAGATATTCAGGGAACCTATAAAGCTAGTGATAGGCAATACACCCATAACTTCAGATAACGAAATTGCAAGTAGTTTTGAAAGTTATTTTTCAGAAATTGCAATTAATGTTACATGCACGTTAAAATCCTCTCCCATTGATGCAATTAATGTATTAAAAAATAATGTTACCTATTGTCGACAAACGTTTAAATTTAATCACATAGATACTAATGATATTATAAAAGTTTTGAATTCTATTAATCTTAAAAATACAGGAGATTTGTGGGGCATGTCCATAAAATTAATGAGTACAATAATGCCGTATATTGCACCATATTTGGCAAATATTTTTAACAAATGTATAGATTCTGGAATATTTCCAGATCTTATGAAATTCAGTAAGATAATCCCCGTTTTCAAAAGTGGGGATAAAAATGATTCAGGAAATTACAGACCTATTGCCATCTCTGAGTAAAATTTTTGAAAAACTAATTTTAAATCAACTCTTAGTACATTTTAATATGAACAAAATTTTCCACAATGAGCAATATGGATTCACTAAAGGCAGATCGACAACGGATGCGGGTGTCGCACTTGTCAAGCATATTTATAACGCCTGGGAAAGGTCACAAGATGCAATAGGTGTCTTTTGCGACCTTTCAAAGGCTTTCGACTGTGTAGACCACGAAACCCTCCTTCAAAAGTTAGATTATTATGGCATTCGTGACATCGCCCTCAATCTCATTGCCTCTTACCTTAATAATAGAATTCAAAAAGTATCTATAAATGATGTAAATTCCACAGGGTCCCCCATGAAAATGGGTGTCCCACAAGGATCAATCTTGGGTCCATTATTATTCTTAGTGTATATAAATGATCTCCCCTTTTATGCCAGTGAGTTATGTGATATTGTACTGTTTGCTGACGACACATCGCTCATTTTTAAGGTTGACCGAAACGTGTCGGATTATGACGACGTGAATAGTGCACTTTCGCGTATCCTCCACTGGTTTACCGTTAACAATATGGTGTTAAATGCTAAAAAAACTAAATGCCTTCTTTTTACCCTTCCCAGCGTAAGAAGGCGAAGTTTTAGCTTAACATTAAATAGCGTAACCCTTAATCCTGTTGAGTCCGCTGTATTCTTGGGTATTACAGTGGATTCAAAGCTCCAATGGAGTCCCCATCTATCATCTCTTGCGAACAGGTTAAGCTCCGCTGTTTTTGCAGTTAGGAAGGTTAGGCAGCTATCAGACATCGACACTGCCAGACTTGTTTATTTCAGTTATTTTCACAGCATCTTGTCTTACGGCATTTTGTTGTGGGGTAGTGCATCTGATATAAATTCTATATTTATTCTTCAAAAAAGAGCTGTCCGAGCAATCTATAACATCGGAGCCCGGAATACACTCAGAGACCTTTTTAAAGAGATTAATATACTCACTGTTGCGTCTCAATATATTTATTGTAATATTTTGTATGTTAAAAATAATATTAATAGTTATCTGAAGAATAGTGACAGACATAAACTAAATACTAGAAATAAGGAAAAACTAACTACGCCATTGTTTCGTTTACAAAAAGTAAACAGGTCGTTCATGGGGCAAGATGTGCGCATGTATAATAAAATACCACAGTTGATGTTAAGTCTGCCACTTGATGAATTTAAACGAAAAATTAAAAGTAAACTTATGGCTAAAGCCTATTATTCTATTGCTGAATATCTTGACGACGCCAATGTGTGGGGTTAATGCTGTTACTCACGTAGGCTAAAACAAGACTATTGTACATGTACTATTTATATTGTAAACTGACTTTTTTTTAAAAAAGAGCAACTGTTGAGTTTCTTGCCGGTTTCTTCTCAACAGAAACTGCTTTCCGAACCGGTGGTAACTTACGAACGTGTTAATTTCTTGTAAAATTTTGACGTTTCATAAGAACGCGCAAGCGTCTATGTGAATAAAGATATTTTATTATTATTATTATTATTATTATTACTAGTCGGTACATACACCGGGTTTACGTGAGTTCAGTCGTCTTAATATTACATGTTTTCATGTCGAGTCGAGAATGGTTTAGATTCACAATTCGGGCCAGTAATTTTTTTTTATTGCTATGTTATCGAATTTAAGTCGTGTGTACGGGACGACGTCTGTCCGTCTTCATTAGCTTCATTTTAAATCGATTTTTATGGACGACGATGGAATGTGCGTAGGTTCTTGAGTGTCTTGGGAATATTGGGTCATAAATTTATATATGAAAATTATGAAAAGAAACTACTTTAAGGATTAAAATTTTTCGATTTAAATATTTCCGTAAAATAATTTAAATCAATAAGATGTTAGATATGATACTAGTGCACTAAAATTGTGTAATTCAAATTACACCAATTCGTGTAATTAGATTGCAATTCGATAGATTGCTATCTCTTTCCATATCATACGTTCTATGACCCGTACTCACTTGCATATTATGTCACATAATGTAAAGCGGAACGATTTTTAAACGTCGCGCAGTATGAACATCAATATTATTATTTTTTTTTTATTCTTTATGTTTAAGGGACTTTTGCGTAATATGCACGTCAGTCCCGTCGTGCCCTCTTCTTATGTTATACAACTTTGACTTATTACTAATACTTATTTCAAAGTTTTAGCCATAAACTCATACAGTAGATTTGCATATTCACTATTTGGGTGGCATAACAAAGAATGAAAAAGGCCAACATTGTATTTGCTTAAATTCATGTCTCTTAACAAGTTATTCCTATTGGGCTCATTTCTAACACATTCCATCAACAGGTGATGAAGGTCTTCAGTCACTGCACATTCCTCACAATTTGGTGAATTAATTTTCTTCATAAGGAAGGCAAATTTTTTACATGGAATGTGTCCAGATCTGAGTCTAAGAGTTGTACATACCAGTTTCCTACACAAATTAGTATTTATTTATATTATGTTAGCATTTATTTAAATTAGTATTATTTATATTATGAACCACGGTACCCGACTGGGCTGGCACTGAATTGTTTTCTAACATATACCCTTATCTAAAAACCGTTTATCAAAATATTCCTTCCAAAGATCATAGCAAACTTTTTTTTTTTGAATTTAGGCAAAAATTCTGTATAGTCTGGAATAAAATTGGGTTTATTTCCATTCTGTATCTCGTTCAGGGTCTCCTTAGCCTGCTGGTCCAGTACGACCAGCTCCTCAGTAGTCATGGTGACACTGGTTCCGTTGAAGTTCGCCTTGCGGATAGATAAGGAACACGATAAAGTTTCCAATGTCACATTTGAACGATAAAGTGTAATCTGTCACGTGTCTTTCCTTAATCCAAATAGTGTTCACGTTTCCTATATATTGTTTTTCAGTTAGACGAGACAATTTATGGACATGAAAGTATGAAAGAGATTCCTCTAATCTAGTACATTAAATTTAAGGATTAGTTAATAGGACACAGGATGAAATTTAAATGTGATTTGTATTACTGGCAGTAAGTACACTTTTGAGTGTTTCAGGTATTCGAACAAGAGTCTTCTGGGTACCACGCATGATAAATTCTAATTAAACATTAACATTTCAATTAACATTTCAATGCTTTTGGAACAAGATGTGGCGATCAAGGAAGCACCTGATTTAATGATTAGATTACCGTTGCTTATACACATCACCCATAGAGTTGTAATTAGTAGTAATTTTGCCAACTCATAACACGGTGGAACCTTGATAGGTCTTTACCATACGCAATAAAAAGTATATAATATGCAGGAGCATGTAGGTACGAGCCTACTCAATCTTGAAACGTTACAATAAAAAAATTTATATAATATCAGTGTAAAACAAAGTCGTTCGTTTGGTAGAATTAAAGATGCTTTCTATATTATATATTTATTTTCCAAATTTAACACTATAAGGTTGACGTTTGAAGCTTTGAAGTTATCTGATGTTGGTGTCGTCGGAATTGATTATTTTTTATGTAAGAAAATGGCAAACGAGCTGGCGGCTCACCTGACGTTAAGTGATAACCGCCACCCATGGACATTTGCAACAACCGTAGGGTTGCAGATGCGTTGCCACCCTTAATATAGTGGGCCCCGGCTACCTCACTCACCAGACGAAACGCAGAAGTGTAACACTTCTACTTCACGCCGGTCTTCTGTTAGGTCGTGGTTCAAACCCGGACGGACCAGTCCATTCGTGCAACAGCGAATACGGTTGCGTGGCCCTACAACGGAAAAAAATATTGTTTCTTAACGTTAACTAGCCCGTACCTATGAGAAGAAAAAATTGTGAAGATCACTACATAGTATAAAACAAAGTCGTCCCACTGTCTGTCTGTCCCTAAGTACACTTAGATTTTTAAAAATTCGCAACGGATCTTGATGCGGTTTTCACTTGATAAAGAGATTCAAGAGGAAGGTTTATATGTATAATAAATTGCACCCGTGCGAAGCCGGGGCGGGTCGCTAGTCAGTCATAAATCTATAAATCACCTGAAGGAATATATCAGGCAAATCGTCGACGCTGAACACGCCCCTGTTCTTCGGCGCAACAGGCAACACTACGTGGAAGCCTTTCGTGACGTTTTGGTTCAATCTGAGCGGCAGATCGTAAGACTCGCTGAGCTGCTCTACGAGCTTCTGTATATCTTCTATCAGCTCCGAGTAGGTCCTGCGCGCGACGTCTAGAAGACCGTTAATGTCCGGCTTCACGGCGAAACACCTCTGCACGCTGCCCATAGCGCCCTTCTCCAAATGCGCGTCCTCTTGGATAACTTTCCGTATGCGCTCGGCTATTTCGTTGTAATGAGGGTTTTGGAAGTCCTAACGTGACGTAGGTTTCGATGATTAACTCTCTATTTATTTATTAAGCGGAGTCTTAAGACTTACGCCCGCTTTTTGAAACACTGTTTATCCTAGAAGTCAACTAACCAGCTGCCAAATGGATTTTCAAATGTTATTTGAGTTGCCAAAAGTATTGTTAAACTCTCTGAATTGATCCGAATGATCTTTAATGATCAGATAGTTGACTTTTACGATGATCAGTGTTTCAGAAATCGGGCGTTTGTCTTTAAGACTGAATTAAAAATTAACGAATTCAGTATAACCTTCTGAATTAATACGCCTACAGCTTAACTAGTTGGGTTTATTCACCATGTGTATACTCCTCAACCTTCCGCTTTCAGCCGTTTCCAGAGCTTCCAAGAGTCTTGGCACCATCTCCATTGTCGTCTTTAACAACAGCGTTTGATTCAGTTGCGCCTTCCCGAACTTGTCAATGTTAGTGTTCGGTGTTTCCATGCATAGGAATAGTATCTTGTCGATTTCTGATAGTTTTTTTATAATGTTCTGCACGTTGTTGAAAAACATTATTTATTAAAACAACAAATGTTACTTTTTGTTACGTTCAGAGACGATGAGAGACCTACCTTCTATATTATTTAAGCTTTCTTTAGTAAATTTAACAAACTTTATAAGACTAAACGTTTATTATGAAGCCAATAATGTGAACTCTATACTTTTTATTTTTAACATCCTAGTTGATCAATCCATGTTCTTAATTAGTGATCGTCAGCCATGGAGTACCTTTCGAATACGTTCAGCAGAAACTGTGTTGCCAAGTCATCTATAGTCGTCTGTCATAATAAATTATTTTGTAAGTATACCTGTAAATCTGCCATCAGACCAGAGTCATTGTCAATCAACTCTTGCACAGCGTCCAGCCTGGCTTCGATGAACTCCTTGTTACAAGACGGCTGCAAGATATTCGCCCGCAAAGCCCTTATACCGCCCAAAGTGTACGTTGGCCCTAACACTCCGAGCAGACAACACGTGACTCCAGCCGATGGCAGTAACGGTTGGACCAGCTCCAGTTGGGTCGCCGTGCCCACGTCTGTCGTGCGAAAAGGATATCAAATTAGTGCATTTGATATCATTTTCCTTTTACAAGCAATAGATATGCAACGGATATGATGTAACGGGGTCGTAGGTTCGATTCCAACCCCCTGTTTGACACAGTCAAGAACAGAAAGTATAGAAGTACTAGACGTTGCGGGCAACCGGTCGATGCAAATTGCATTGCAGTATCTTCCTTGTGAGATGGGGGAGGCCTTTATTCAATAGTTCAACAGCTGATAATAATGATGATGGCACGGAGGGGTCGTATGTTCGATTCCCACACGGGACGAGTATTTGTGTGACTCACGAATAATTGTTTCGGATCTCTTTGCTCCTGAGACAGGTTGACGTCAGGCAGGCGATCGGACGTAAATATCCCAGCCAAAAACATTTAAAATATGAATATGAAATATGTTGCACCGACCTCACAAAAGGAGGATTATGATGATGACGAAAGTAGATTATACTAATAACAATATGATATAGGCTCTGTAGTACAAATAATGAAATGAAATGAAAATGAAAAAACTTTACTACTTTATAATAACAGGAGAATTATTCACGTGGAAGCCCTCTAAACTGTTAAAAAAGTATTGTCTATAAAACATCAATGTTTTTACCACGAACTGGTTTTTCTACTCAAGCGTAATTAGAAATACGTGTGAAAATAATGCGTTGACTTTTCGTAATCCATTCTTCCGATTTGGAAAAAGGAGGAATGTATATATATTGGTGTTATAAGTAGTGTTTGGTTTGCCAAATCTTCAAAAAAATGTTCACCTATTATCATAGTATCCTCCGAAGAATGGTACTCGATTTTCAGTGATTCTCTAGAGAAAACCACGCATTGGATGTACTCGACGTACTTTAACACGGCAGCGGCTGATGTAAGGGCGTAAAATCTGAAAAGTTACTTTCATCAGACGTTCAACGTTGAGCTGAGAGATATCTTGATTACAATCTTCAATTACAGTAATTAAAACTGACAATTCATCCGAATATTTATTTTATTTTTATTTATTCAATCGAATACCGTAAATGCGTACAACATGAGACTCGAAGGTAAACTGAGATTAAACTTCCATGGCATATATTATTACATGTAGTATCATTATTATTTTGGCAACACTGACAGTTCAGTTTCAAATTTGTTGTGTGAGGTTCCATACTTGCTGTCGTGAAGGATTTTTTACCAGGTAAGTAGTATTTTTTGAGAAATAGACATTAATTTGTTTGTGAAATATATTGTTGTACTACATAAACCTCAGAACTCTGATAATTGACAAATAAGTACTGTGATTTAAATCGATTAATCAATCCCATCTTGTGAAGCATGTTCCCATAGACAAAAAAAACTCCCATGTTTTAGACTATTTGTTAAATGTTGCCAGAATAAATTTAAAATTTCCTCAAACTGGACGCATTTTATTTTTATGATGGAAAATTAAGACCATGTCTCAAATTAGGTGCTTATGAGTCAAATTAGGTGCATATGTCTCAAATTTTATTAAAATCGTTAGTGGTTCAATTTCAAGTAATTATGATAATTATTGATAGTACATTATTTTTTTTTTTTGTTTCAGTAATCATGTCTTCGCGAAGACGAAGAGTTCTCGGGGCGAAACCGAAATTATAGTGAGGACACTTTGAAAGCTGCTATGGCAGCAGTTGACACTGGCATGACTTTGAGGGAAGCGGAAGAAAAATTTAAAATACCTCGAGGGACAGCGTCAGGTGTTCTGCTTCCACCGTACGTCGTTTATAAAGCGGAATATTTATATTGTTACGTGTTAGGGGTTCGAATGATTTGGAGAGAAAGACCTGCTGACTCTTTTGAAGACTTTATTCAAGCACTAGGTCCAACACAAAGCACTAGGTCCAAACACTAAGCACTAACGATGTCCTATTTTGTAGCCAAGTCGTAGGTTTCACTGGTATCGCTCTTGATCACTAGTTTTCGCTCCGAAGTCGCCTCGAAGGTAGCTCAAACTGAACTGTATTCGCTCGCCTCCCCGCGGCTTTTTATATGGGCCGAGACCGGTTCCAGACTAATCCAGAAAGATCCTTCCTGGAACGTACCCGACACGCCCGAACATGTTCGTGATTCCGGAAAGTTCGCGAATGTACCCGGTTTTCGAGACTATAGTTCCACAGCAGTTCCTCTAACGCCATCTAGTATTGAATAGGGGGTTTTATGTCGTCTTTGTTCTTTAGTGATTTTAATAGTTGACGCTAGATGGCGTTAGTTCCTTTTGTGTGTTCATAACACTACTCCCCTCTTAGAGATGCTCGTCCCGAGCATCATTGTTACTGCCATGGTAACGCGCCAGACGGTCTATGTGTACCACTTTGAATGTCCCTCTTGGTTGCTTTTGAATCCTATAAGTCACATCATTCAGTCGGGTAACCACTTTGTATGGACCGTCCCACTTGATCTGCAACTTTGGGGATTTCCCTTTCCGACGAGTTGGGTTATGCAGCCACACCAGTGACCCTTCTTCGAAGCCGTCCGTGTTCGATTTCCGGTCGTATCTGGTTTTCATGTTCTCACTTGACTGTAACCCATTTTCCCGAACCAAGGCGTGTATATAGCGCATTTTTTCCCTTAAATTGCAGACATAGTCTTGTACGGTCTGTGGTCCCTCCGGTGACCCTCCTGTCAATAGGTCTACTGGTAATCGTAGTTCTCTACCGTAATTGACATACGCCGGGGTAGCTTTTATGCTCTCATGCTCGGCGGTTCGGTACGACAGAAGAAGGAAGAGTGGTATATACTTGTCCCAATCCTTTTGTTTGTCGTCTACCAATTTCGCCAGATGCCTCTCAAGGGTCTGGTTAAATCTCTCAACCATTCCATCAGACTGTGGGTGGCACGCGGTGGTCCTCGTCTTATGCATGCCCAAAATTCTACACACTTCCTGGAATACTTGTGATTCGAAGTTCCTGCCCTGATCGGAATGGATTTCTAGAGGCACACCAAAAAAACGACATATCACTTCTTCGACTAACTTAGAAGCGACTGTTGTAGCTTCTTGGTTTGGTATGGCGAGGTTTGCGGGCCATTTGGTGAGGTAGTCCATGACGACCATAAAATACTTGGTTTCCGATTCCGTTACAGGAAATGGCCCAGCTACGTCAACTGCAATTCGTTCCCACGGTGCACCGACGTTATACAACCGCAGGTTCCCACGGCTTCTGGTCTGTGGTCCTTTTACAGCAGCGCAAGTAGTACATTTGCGGCACCAATCCTGTACATCATCTCGACAATGCAACCAGTAGAATCGTTCTCGCACTTTTGTTAACGTTCTCTTGACACCTAGATGACCTCCTGATACATGTATTTCACGGAGAACATCTGGTACTCTCGTTCTCGGGACAATTATCTGAAGATGGAACTCTCTGCCGTTAGTCTTCTCCCATTTCCGGTAGAGTATTCCGTTTTGAAGTATCAGACTGTCCCATTGCGCCCAGTTCGCCTTAGTGACAGCGCCAGTGGGTGCAACCTCACTCCAGTTTGGTTTTACATCGCCCCGCTTCTTCCATGTGATGATGTGCCGAAGGTCGTCGTCACTTTCTTGAGCCTCTCTCATAGCATCATTCTCCCAGAGACCCAAAGGACTTGTTCTCGTTAGCTTTAATGTAACTTCATTAGATTCCTGCTTAACACAATGTTTGCAGTCTTCCGAACACGGCCTTCGTGAGAGTGCGTCGGCATTTCCATACGTCTTTCCGCTGCGGTGTTCCGTCTTGAAGTCATACTCCTGGAGCTGCTCAATCCATCGAGCTACTTGACCTTCCGGGTTCTTGAATTGCAGTAGCCACTTCAAGGCTGCGTGATCAGTTCGCAGTAAAAACTGTCTGCCGATGAGATACTTGTTGAAATGTTGTAGCGTCTTTACAACAGCCAAGAGTTCTCTTCTTGTTACACAGTAGTTTCTCTCTGGCTTGGATAACGATTTGCTGAAATATGCAATAACAACTTCTCTTTCACCCTGTTTTTGAGATAACACCCCTCCAATGGCCGTGTTGCTTGCATCTGTGTCGACTATAAACTGACCTTCAGATTGTGGATACCCCAGGATTGGTGTTTCACACAGATGTTTCTTCAGTTTTCTGAAAAGAATCTTCACAAGTCCCATCCCAACTGAATGGTCGTTTATCTTCTGTCAGCCGATGTAATGGCTTGGCTATCTCTGAGAATCCCTTAACAAAACGCCTGTAGTATGAGCATAGGCCGAGGAATGCCCGCACTTCGGTTTTGTCCTTAGGCGTAGGCCATTTTTGAACTGCTTTCAGTTTCTCCGGGTCTGTCTGAATTCCATCACTGGAGATAACATGGCCGAGATAGTTGACCTTGCTCCTGAATAAGCGACACTTTTTCGGGTTCAACTTTAATTTGGCTCCCTCTATTTTGGCGAAAACTCGCTCCAAGTTTCGCAAATGGTCCTCGAAGTCACGGCCGACAATGATGATGTCATCTAGGTAGACTAAGCAAGCCTCTCCAACTAAGCCTGCAAGTACACACTCCATGAGTCGCTCAAAAGTGGCAGGCGCGTTGCACAATCCGAAGGGCATGACGTTAAATTGCCATAAACCTTTACCGGTCGAGAAAAGCTGTCTTCTCCTTGTCTTTTGGATGAATTTCCACCTGCCAGTATCCAGATTTCAGGTCTAGGGTCGAGAACCATTTCATGCCACTTAAGGTATCCAAAGTGTCGTCAATTCGAGGTAACGGGTAACTGTCCTTCTTAGTGACATCATTGAGACGCCTATAGTCCACACAAAATCTCGTGCTACCATCTTTCTTCTTCACTAACACAACAGGTGAGCACCACGGACTTGTAGACGGTTCAATAATCTTATTCCTTCTCATGTCCTCCAAAAGGCCTTCATCTTCTTTTTCCTTTGCAATTGGTATCCGTCTTGCTCGTTGACGAATTGGTCTTTCGCTTCCGGTATCTATCCTGTGCTGAACCATCGAAGTTCTTCCAAGGTCCCCTTCTTGACTGGAGAAGATATTCGCGTAGCGCTGTAAAAACTTCCTAGCTTTAATGCCCTGCGAATAAGTCAGATTAATCTTGCAGTCATCGAGTAGCTCAGTCACTAATCCGTAGTTATTGCTGTTTGCCGAGTCTGCGCCTGTAACCGAACTACACTTTTTCATCCAGACAACTTCCTCGCACTTTCCAATGACGTCACCTTTGTTCAAGCAGACCTCGCGATCACCAAGATTCAAAACCTTGACCACAGCGTTACTGCTTCCACTAACAAGGGTTCTCGCCGTCATCAGTTTTTGCGCTGATGTCTTGGTAGGAGTGCCTTTCTTTATACATGCGACTTTCCCGCAGGTGCCTCCGAGAATGAAGATTTCTTCTTCACCACACTCGAAAATTCCGTCAGCGACATTAACTCTGCAGTTGTGTTTCTTCATGAAATCCAAACCAAGGATGCAATCATCCACAATCTCAGCCACAATGACGTTATGAGAGTATGATGACCCCCCTACATACACATCGTGACTGACATTTCTCCCAAGACGGGTATTGGCTGACCGGAGGCAGTAAGGAGCCGGCAGTTTATTCTCCTCTTGAGTCCCCTTGAGGCTTTTACCAGTTGGGTTCACTATTGTTCTAGAGGCTCCTGTGTCTAGAGTCATTTTGCAATCCGACCCGTTAATAATACCCTGAATCACAAGGCTATTCCCGCTGCATGCCTGGGAGATAACAGTTATCGGGGCTTCCTCCGCGTCAGCCAGTACTCGCCCCTTAGTACTGGCTTTTATTAGTTTCCCTGATCCCGGGCAGGGGACGAAGCCTCTCGCTTCTTCAGCTCCGCTATTTGTTCCTCGATCCATTTCATCCTTGCCATCTGGGTCTCCTTCTGCGGGCAGTTGAGCTGAAGATGGCCCCTCTCGCCACACTTGTAGCACATGGCTCCAGGACTTCTCTTCGTAGGAGCCTTAACCTCCTTCACTTCCTCAGAGACCTCGCGGATCCTATGGGTCTGCCGTATGTCGTAGCGAACAGCCTCGACCTTCAAAGCGTGCGCCAATGCCTCCTTTAGCGAGGTATGGTGACGAAGCCTCACTGCAGCTCTGACCTCTAGGTCTTTGATTCCGTCCACAAATGCTTGAACAATATTCGTGTCTACCATCTTGGTGGTACCTGGGAGTGCCTTCCTGACGAGTTTTTCAATTTTCAACGCCCATTGTTGTAGTCCTTCTCCTGAGAGTTGGACTCGGTCACGCAGTTGGCCACGGAACACATGCTCCAGGTGTCGCTCCCCGTACCTGGATTCAAGTGCCTCCATCAGGTCTCGGAACCCATTTCCTGTATGTAGCAGTGCTTCCAGGACCGACAAAGCTTGCCCTCTTGTGACTCCTTCATTGCCTGAATTTCAGCCCTTTGCAGCTCCATTAATTTAATTAAACATCCTAAGTGAAGAGCCACTTCAGGGTCTGCGGAATTGCGGTGCCACCGGTGGGCGTGGCAAGGTGGGCGTGGCATGAGTGGGCGTGTATCGGTGGGTGGAGTCAGTGGGCGGGGCTTGCACAAAAGTGGGTGGGGCTTGGGCATGGGTGGGCGGAGTCTGGGGGGCGCGGTCGGTGGGCGTGGCCTGGTCGGTGTTGCCAGTGGGCGGGGCTTGACCAACAGTGGGCGGGGCTTGGTCCCCAGTGGGTGTGGCCTCCGCAGCTCGTGCCCAGGTCCTGACACCCTCCTTGAAGTCCTCTCTCGGAGTCAATGGCATCTCCAAATCCCACTTCTGACACCAGTTGTTACGTGTTAGGGGTTCGAAGGATTTGGAGAGAAAGACCTGCTGACTCTTTTGAAGACTTTATTCAAGCACTAGGTCCAACACAAAGCACTAGGTCCAAACACTAAGAACTAACGATGTCCTATTTTGTAGCCAAGTCGTAGGTTTCACTGGTATCGCTCTTGATCACTAGTTTTCGCTCCGAAGTCGCCTCGAAGGTAGCTCAAACTGAACTGTATTCGCTCGCCTCCCCGCGGCTTTTTATATGGGCCGAGACCGGTTCCAGACTAATCCAGAAAGATCCTTCCTGGAACGTACCCGACACGCCCGAACATGTTCGTGATTCCGGAAAGTTCGCGAATGTACCCGGTTTTCGAGACTATAGTTCCACAGCAGTTCCTCTAACGCCATCTAGTATTGAATAGGGGTTTTATGTCGTCTTTGTTCTTTAGTGATTTTAATAGTTGACGCTAGTTCCTTTGTGTGTTCATAACAATATAATACTTGGACGGAAGGAGGACCTCCAAATACAGTTTACAACCGATCTCGGAGTGGATGGTTTGACACTACAATATTTGAGGATTGGTTTTTGAAGGTCATTATTCCTTATGTTGAATCGTTTAATGGCAGAAGACCCGTGGTTGTAATTGGTGACAATCTGAGCAGTCATTTTTCATTGGATGTGATACAAAAGTGTACTGACTATAATATTAAATTTGTTTGTTTACCGGCAAATAGTACGGGGTTGTGCCAACCCCTCGATGTAGCAGTGTTTCGACCATTAAAAATAAAATGGAGGTCTGTTCTGCTGTCTTGAAAGGAAAAAAATAGAGTCGTAATGCCGAAGCATGTTTTTTGCGAGGCTTTTGAAGCAAACTCTGGATAATATAGAAAATAGGGGAAAAAATTTGAAGTCCGGATTTGAAGCAGCTGGGATATATCCAATTAATGAAAAAAGAGTCTTAGATAGATTGCCAACACAGGAAGATCCAGAAATCCATAATAATAATGCATCTCAGCAATGGTTAGAAACGTTTAAAATGTATCTCGAAGATATGCGAACAAAAGAATGCAGCACAGCCCCGAAGAAAAAAAAAGGTGGCAGTTATTCCAGGTAAAGGTGTAACAGTATCAGTAACTTATCCGAATCATTAAAGACTAAGACGAAACGTAATAAAACGAAAAAACAAAAAAAAAGATCGTCGATGATGAAAGCACTTCCTGCAGTGATTTAGAAGAATGGAGGGAAGCAGTTTTGAATACTGGAAACTCATCATCCGATGACAATAATGAGTTCGACACAGTGTTTTTTGATGATGTTCATGACATGTTTCCTGGTGATGATGAAAGATCGGCGTCACCACGTATAACTAACATCCCACATAATGAGAACCAAGAAAATGAAGATCCACTCAATGTAGACCAATCGGTCTATACTGACGAACAATTTAAAGTTTCTGTACTTAGTGATGGTGGTGCTGGTTGCTCTAAAGATATCGATACAGAAATTGTAAATAATTCGGAGATTTCACCAGATTCTTTTGTTGTTGTCGAATTACTCTACAATGAGAATACGAAAAAACAAACTGAAAAGAAGTTTATTGCTCAAGTTACGAACATGGTTAGCGACGGAAAAGTGACCTGTCGCTTCATGAGATGTTTTTCAGCTACAAAGGGTATTTAGATATTTCCAGCAGTGGATGACATGATGACAATTGACGCTTCTCGAATAATAAATACATCAAGGTAGCCCACTCAAGTGAAAAGGGGAAAATACATTTTTAATATTAATATTTAATTATAAGACTAAAACTGTGTAAAATAATATTTTTTTGTGCGCACTTCAAAGCGTAGGTATGCCTAGGTATAGCCTATGTATCGCAATAAAACGTTCCTAATAGCTTAGACTCCAATTTTGATCTCAATGTTTAAATTTTATTATAAGTTGCAAATGTTATTAATTTACTTAGTGTTAAAGGCTAATTTGAGACATGTGGGCAAATTGAGATCTCAAATTACCTTCGGTCTCAAAATCGAGATTTATGTTGATTTATTTTTTGACGATTTATGAAGAAGTTTGTTTTTTTGTTTTTGATTTTATATAATTTTTATTTGATTTTTGAAGAACTAGTAAAAGATCTGGTAAGATTTGGAGATAATATTTTGTTTTATTTAATACCTCTAGTTATAACTGATTTATTATTGTTTTAATTTGCGCAAATTCAATGTTTTGTTATTTTTTAACGTCTCAATTAACAAACATTGAAATTCTACATGGGAAACCATGACTTTTATAAGGTGTCTTATGTTTACCGCATGTTGCAGGTAAATTGAGACAAGACGAAATAAATATATATATATAAAAAAAACTACATTGATTAGCTCAATATTGCAATATGCTCCTATTACCTTAGATAGAGACTCATGTTCTAGTAAAATTTCAAACCATAATTATTAAGAATTACACCTTATACTGTGAATTGAAATTTAAACCTGTCTCATGTTGTATGCATTTACGGTATATAACGTGAACGAATGTTTTTAGCACTCTGAATGTTCATATGAAGATGTAGTTACTGTTCTTTTTTTAAACACGCCGTTTTAATAGAACTAATTGTATTTAAAATTATAATTTCGTAATTGTAAAATTTTAAGCAATTACATGAACACAATTTTCGGAGTTCTCGATTTCAAGAATATTTTAAAAAGCAAACATGGATATAAAATTAAGCCAAAATAAGTTAGAAACAACAGCAGTAGAGAGGAAAAAAGGGGTTTTTCTTAAATTATATCGATTTTTTTTAAATATACCGAGAATTTTTTAAAATTTCAATGCGGTGACATTTCTTATTTGACAGGATTATTTACAAATTTACTTCAACTATCTACCAATAAAAATTTCCAAATAGCTCAGATTAACTAAGGTCAAGTTCAAATACGCCTGGGCTTATGCAATCGACATGTTTGAACTCATTTATGAAAATAAATACAAAAACAAGTGACGGAAAATAATTCATTCAGGTAGCTTTAGGTAAATGAAAAAAAAAAAACACTAAGTAGGTATTGACCAATTTTGAACAAAAAGGCTTTCGTACAGGGCAATGTTACAAATTATTTTGACCATTGATTGTTATTTCATGGTTTAATAAACATAAATAAATAAGGCCCAATTTGCACGCATGAATTGCTTAGACATCACAATTAAATGTGGTTACAAAATAATAATAATTTAGGCGTTACAATACTCAATTGGATAATAAGTTGCAAGTAAACTTTTTAAAGTTAAAATTTAGCTAAATTTACTTAACTACACGTTTCGCATAAAAACTTAATTTATTTAATAAATTGAAAAGTTCTAATCCATAGATAGATTCAAAAAGACTAACGCCCGGTGTCTGAAACACTGATCTTCGTAGAAATTAACTAATCAGCTGTCAAATGGCTTTTCAAATATCTTTTGAGTTGCCAAAAGGATGGTTAAACTTTTTGAATTGATCAGAATTATCTTCTTAATGATCAGAATCATCAATTCAAAAAGCTGATTTGTTAATATCTATGATGATCAGTGTTTCAGAAATCGAGCGTTATTTTGTAAACGCAATTAGGTTAACAAATTGAACGGTTTTAATCGATATACTGAAATAGACTTACTTCTGTAGTACTTGCAAGCAAACCGCACTATACTGAGGGGCGCAAAGGGTCTGTATCTGTTGGCGGCCGGCCGCGTCGTTAAAGTGTCTCCTTTGCACTGTGGTGAGGGTGACCAGTGGGTAGTGGTCTTTGATCAGCTTGTACAATTGGCTGGGTTGCGTGCCCTCGCAGAACGTGTGCGGTACAATTATCTACGGCGAAACGCTCAAATTTTTCAAGAAATGATATAGAGACAGAACTTAAAGTTGCATTAATCATGCAATGGGGGTAAATTAGCTGCACATTCTCTATCAGAACGAACTATATGGAACATAAGTAAGCCGAAACTATTCTTGTAGCTGTTCTTAAGTGGAAATAGTAGTGGCGAAGCAAGAGAGCCCTGTTGTACACCTTGGTATGAAGCCATAAATCTAATATTGGTCTATCTAATCTAACATTAAATAAAATGGTTGACCAGGTTTAATATATATATATCACGATGCCTTCAATAGCGTAGCGAGCCTATGACATGAGATTAAGATGAGTCTATAATATGTCAGAACTAAAAACTATCAAAGCTTTGTCTGATGGATTTTGACTTTTGGCTGTTGGCTTTAAATTTACAACTGGTTGGATGTTAGAGAAATTAACGGTAGATCATACAGTAACGTTTAAGCAAAATATCGTCAAGAAAATTTTGAAGTTACACTTGTTTTGGCGAGTTATGGAAGAAATTATGAGAGTGAGTTTTTACAAAGCCTCATAAAACTAACACCATGAAATTTCGATTAATCTTTATCTATTTATATATTAACCATTAGCAACCACAAAATGTTCAGAATAAAATATTTTTTGGAGTTTATTTTTATTTTGCTAAAGGTGTATAACTTTTTACGGACACTTAAGCGCACACACGTTTCTTTTTGATTATTAAACTCACCTCTACGGGGTGGAAGAAGTTGATTTTCGTCATGGTGTGTGTGTAAAGCAGGGTATCACTGAACTGACAAAGCACAAGATTCGGATGTCTGAGATCTACCGCGGCCATGCCTATCTCGCCTCGCGCCATACCTCGACCCTCTGAAATTGCTGGAATTGAATTTTATTTTAAATCTTTACTATTACGAGAACATGCTATCGCTAATCAGAAAAGAATATAGAGTGATTCTTTGCACCTATATGTCCAAATGAAGATATTTTTTGCTCTTAATAAAAGCTACGTTGTGACTCTGTTGAGCGCTCAGAGACGTCTATGAGTATTGTCGATTAAGTATATCAATGAAATCATACCATTGCTTAGATTACGTTTTTTATGTAGGTATATTAACCTTTCCTAAATTTTTGTAAGGAGAATTAAACTTTACTTAGGTTTGGTCGTGTTTCCAACATGATTTTTTTACAATATAATTTATACTATTTAAGCTAAATAAAATTTAAATATACAAGAACTGTGCATTAAATCATTTTTTACCCGTTTATTAATCCTTATTATGTAGTCAATGTTTACATGGTGATAGCATACAGTGCTAAAAATTGTAAATAACAGTTAGAATGCAATAAAAATACATTTTTCTAAAAAAGAAAAAAAGTTACCCAAAATAACACTAGCTTCAACCGCGGAGTTGGATGTGGAACGCGCAGACTTCGTTCCGCTGTAGCCGCCTGACAAAAGTCGTCGATCGACGAACATATACTGATAAAGAATTGAACTTCCAAAAAGGACTAGACTGTTGCAGGGCCACGCAAGAGTTCGCTGTTGCAAGAACTAGCAGGTCCGTCCGGGGAAGTACCACGACCTCGCAGAAGCCCGCCGCGAAGTGGAAGTGTTATACATCTGCGTTTCGTCTGGCAGCCGGAGCCCACTTTATTAAAAGACGGCAACGCATCTGCAATTCTACGGTTGTGGCAAATGACCATGGGCGGCATTTATCAATTAACATCAGGTGAACCTCCTGCCCGGTTGCCACCTTCTCACATAAAAAAGGAGACCTACACTCACCCTCCATTGCTTAGAGATCACAAAACATCTACCAACTATAAACAACCCTACTAGGCTATTTGATGACTCCTTGACGCAGTTACTAATTAAGTTATTAGACTCGACGTGATAATAGGTTCTATTCCCACACGGGACAAGTATTTGTGAGATCCAAAAGTTGTCTGGGATCTGGGTGTTAATTCAAGATTCAACTGCAGGCAGGGGGGTTGCCCGTCATATCGGCGTGAGTAGAAGCATTTCTAAATTTGCATTTAGTCCGTTCAGTGAGGTAATTGCGGTTACCCTCTTTCAAAGGATGAAATCGCAATTGCACTCTCATTTTTGTTGTGAATTTCGCATGGACTTTCTTTGCCAACTGCTCTTATAGGAGAAATAAGCAGCTTTATTCAAAAAGGTATTTTTCCGTACATCCCTGTCTTTGGTGTGATCAATAAATTAATAATAGTCGAAACCTGTGTCTATATTTATTGTAAACTATCTGCTGCCCGCAACTACGTCTGCGTAGAATAGGTTGAAGGCGTAACATTCAGACATAAAGACAGATATCCATTAATATGTATATAAATTATAGCCTATGTTTTATTCTGATGTACAAGCTTTATTATGTAAAGTTTCATTAAAATCCATTCAGTAGCATTTGCGTGAAAGAGTAAAAAACATCCATCCATACATACAAACTTTCACATTAATAATATTAGTAAGGATGTTATAAAAAGAGGCGAATGGTGCTATTGGCCTATTTTTATAATCTTTATAAATGATGAGTGGCCCTAACAGTCCTTCCCGGCTCGAGAGATCTGGCTAACGTACTAATTCTGAAGAAATTCGATCAAGCTTTTATAGTCTACAAACTAAAAGCAAAAACACCCTTCTTAGAGGGGTAAAGTAACACATTTATTAATAAAAAAAATAATACCATAAACTTTTGCCAAGTTTACGAAATACTGCCTAAGAAAGTAATCTATTCCGACACGCTTATTATTCAAGTCATTAACGAAGTTATCAGGAGTATTGTAAAATATTACGTGCGCCGTTATTTCCTTGGAGTAAAGAAAAGGGGAATTACTTCTGTTGTCATTAGTTACGTTCATATAAGTTATCTGCATGTACAAGAAGTATTTTGTAACTACAGTGTTTTTCCCCAGTATTCTCGAACTAACTGAAGGAGAAAACAATTTTTTTTAACGGCGGTAGGTAAAGTTCTAGTAAGACGCAGGTTCTAATCCTTCTTTGAATCGAAAATCTTTTTGTTTGTCTATTTTTCTATTAAAGTTTTATGATTTAAATTTCATCTTAAGTGCAGATGGAGAACTAAAATTAAAAAAAGAGTGCGTGTAACCCTGCGTGCAACCTTTGCACGCGGTTGAAGTAAAACTAAAAGAAAAATCTTTAAAACAGTTAAAAATAATTTAAAAGTTACAGCTTATGAATGTACCACTTCTGGGCAAAAGCCTCCTCTCTAGAGAGAGTATCAGTCCACCACACGGCCCTCTGTGGATTGGCGGACTTCACACACTTTCTAAATATTTTCCTTTTGTTATTATTACGAAAACATGTTACAAACTGTTATAGTTTTTTTAATCAATAAAGTTCATTAAACCAAAAACATGCAGGTTTCCTCGCATTTCATCATTTCCTCATCGCATTCCATAATTTTCAGCATTCATTCCATCATTCCATCAGCACGGGAATCGAACTCAGGTTGCTCGAGCAAATTGAATTAAAGGCGAGCGCCCGGACACTGAGCTATCAGCAAAGCATACAGTTACCCCTTAGTCGCGCCTAAAGAAGATTTACTTAAGAAAATAACAGATAATACTTACCCCTGCTACTACTACTAATATATCTAATGGCTTGGGGCCTGTTCTTCGGAGTAAAGAAACCGTGCGGGGTGTCCGAGGCGCCAGAATCGCTAGCCAGAACCCTGGGCCTGGCGTGAATGCTAAAAGACGATTCAGGCTTTGCGGAACTCGAATTGGACGTTAATCTAGTCGGGCGAAGATATGTAAATATGTATTGCGTTGTCGGATACCTTTTTATACACAAGAAATTTGATTTTTTTACAGTGCCAAGATTAGCACTTATTCGAAACCCATCGACGAAAATTTTTTCGCCGCTGCGGGAATTGAACCCACGTCTTCGGGATTCGCGGCCAGATTCTTTAGCCACCTAGCTAAACGGTCGATTGCCACACCGACCTAAACTATCTTTTATATATTGCATTTCAAGCAATGCTTGGCGCATTTATTGTTATAATTATCATTTATAGCATACAAACAATTTCGAATATCGTTTAACAAAAAGAAAAAACCGCGATAGACTTTTTTCCTCTTATTTTCGATATATAATTATTGAATTATAAAACCAGTATGATGTCATGCACAAATTGACTTTTCAGTTAGGTACATTGCGTCGACCGTTTCCGCATCATAGCTGGCTCACAATGACTAATTAGATTAAAGGTTACCAAATATGTATCACTATTCTCTTTAAGTTATTTACCATCAGGTAGCCTTGATGTAAAACTTCTAATATAATTAATAGCCTCGATGCCTTTTAGTACTAAGTCTGGACATGGAGAGAGGCCACTGCTAGCATTTATTCGTGGGTTAATGTTTTGACGTTATATTGGTTAAAATTCATCATTAATTAATTATTATAAATAAGTAAAAAAATTGGATTCTTTACATTGGTAATAAGGATAACAACTTTAAAATCTAAGCAAACATACATGAATCAAAAATTATTTACTTGCGTTTAAAATTCAGCGGCAGTCCTGAAGGCGGCCCCATCGAACTAAGTCTTGAAGTCGATGTTTGATTATCTGTATTGAACTGATAACGTGGTACCTTATTCGGTGGTAAAATAGAGACGTTTCCCCTAATACCTACACCCCAGGAAAAAGTTGTATTCTAAGTCAGTATTACATAAATTGAAATTGTTATAAGATTGAGATTATGATGAATATGAAGAATGCTATGAAATATCTGAACGAATTAAATGTTTAATTTAGTGTTTATATCGGACAAACCGCGACGTTAAAGAAGCTGAAATAATTATTTTAGAAGAACTTACTTAAAGACGCATCTTTTCTAACGAGTTCATTTTTTAAGCGTTGTCTTATTTTGTCACGACGTTTATCTCTCATAACCACGTTCATAGTTATGTTTTATAATACTAATTTAATAAACTTTGAGGTAAGTGAGTCAGAAAAATTTATTCTATCGATTTTAATAATTTTAATAGAAAAACTTTCCGGTTTCCCCCTAAAATTCTATTAAAAAGTTCTGTATATATTTTTTAATTCAATTTATAGCTTTTAAAGTTATGGACGTCAAAAGATTTTCTGCCATCGCCTTCAATTTTAATATTTGTGATATGTCGGGGTTGTGATAAATTCTCCGAAAATAAAATAAATCTTGAAAATGGCGTTGTATTTAAATTAAGTGAGATCATGCGTCCACAATGCGGCAATTCTGAAGGAAAGAAAGGAAAAAAAGGAAGAAGAAAATATATTAATATGGCAAAATAAATAACGATATTTATTTGAAATCTTTTGTATCATAAATAAAAGTAATGATCAAGAATCTTTGGAATTAGAAGTGGAAAAGAAATAAATTACAAGTTTACACGTCAGATTGTAGATTATGAATTTTATAACATGGAATAAAAACGTGTGTATGTATTTATGTACATACGTAAGAAGTTATACTTCTTAAGCGTAACTAAAGAAAAATAACGAAAATAAAATTATTCCATGTGCCAGTACTCTTTGATTGTCAAAAAATACATTAAATGCAATTGATAAATGTTCAATTATATTACTAAGGATTGTAAGTTCGCCAGGTGTGCTTCGCTTCACGTAGAAAATTTTTCCGTATAATCTTATATCAATTCAACTTATGGTAAAAAAAGATAAAAATAACGAACTGTTCAACGGAGTGGTCATGTCGCCTTTTATATGATATGTGCTAAGTTTCACATCATTGGGCTCACGGTTCTCGAGTTTTAGGTGAACAAACTTACACACATACATTCTATTTTATATAAATAGATGTGAAAAAATTGTTTAAGTTACCATGGTAACACTATAAAGTTGGCGTCGATTGTCACCTGGCGTAAAATTTCATTCGTAAGTTTTTCGAAACGTACCGTATAACTTAAAGAAAAAGTGATTCGAAAGATGATAAAATTTATGGTCTATTTTTGAAAACTCGTGAACAAAAATATTTAATCAAATAATGTTATTCTACTTTGTACGGTATTGGTAGCATTCATATTTATTTTACCTATTTTTTTTAAATGACGAAGAAGATTGTAAAGAAATCATTGGTGAGTTTTTACACACCTAAATCCAATATATATATATATAGTTATATATATATATATATATATATATATATATATATATATATATATATATATATATATATATATAACAGTATAGCAACACCTGTTCTATTCAGTGACCTGTGACACTTGTGACAGTCAGTGTCATTTTCATACTTCAAACGAAATTTTTAAAAATCCAAATCCAAATCAACTTTGAATTTAATTTTTTCGATGTGTTTATATTAGAATGATGGAATTGAGAACTTATTTATAGGGACTATAATATTATGCTATATGAGCAGTAATAATTAATGACATGGGCTGTAAATCAAAGTGAGTGATTCAATAACATAACAAAACGAACACTGAAATTTCGTTCCTGAAACAACAGGTGCGTATATAGACATAAAACGTTCATTCGGATCTATTATTTTTAACGCATAAGCTTTGCGTATAAATAATACTTCGTCAGGTGAAAAAGATAATACATTGACTTAATTATCATTTTTATAAGGTCATATTACCTTGGCAACGTTAGATAAACAAGGCTGTAGGGTAGGTACTTGTTTTATCATGACTTTGCGAATGCAATACATACGTTACAGTTAGTTAAATAGCATTGGTGCAGTTTACTGCTTTTTTTTTTTCAATTATATAAATCACTTCTTATTAAGATGGACTACTGTTAAATTTTAACATTCACATATAATATATATTGCAACATTGCCTGGCAGCATGATACTTGCTTTATTTTTTTAGCTAATATTTGAGCAAATTCTAAGGCCTAAGTAATTTATACAAAATCAATGACCATTATAATCTTGCTGTATCTTTAACTATGGGAATCACGTACAGGCTGATTGTGTAAAACAACAAGGTTGAGGTGTCATAAAGTTTAAAAAAATAGATAAATAAGCATTAGCTATTTCTTGTCTTTTTTAATAACATTCAAAATCTTATTGAAGTTAAAAATATTTATACCCATATTTGCCCCAAATTTATATGTATAGGATTTAAACTGTAAAACATGTTTATTCCCAGTTAATTTATTCAGCTCTGTTAGACAAAGTACCAATTACAGGGGCACAGTTTGCATCACCAAGAGTCTTGGTGATTTGGAGTCTTTTAATTTACTTAACTTATATTTTTAGTTTTATTGAGTTAACATTTATGGAATGTTGGGATGATTAAAATAATTTTAATATTGTTTCATGGTTCGATATGGGTTTTTCCAGGGCAATATGTTATTGCATATAAAATGTTATGTTGATGATTTTTGATTGCTTATATTTACACACATACATACCTTATATTGGCATATTTATCTCATTTATATCAATCTGCCAATTAATATTTTTAATCAACTTTGAAGCGTTAACCATACTAATCAATCATGTAAAGTTGTTTTATTTCAATATCTTTTGGTCTTATAGGCAAATAATAAGTAATCCTGTAATTAACATTGACTTACTGCAGACTTACAATACTACAAAATAATAGAAAAAATAACCAGAATTTTTTGCCAGGACAAAAACATCTTTACCTTTTATTGTTCTGTAACATTTAAGGGTTTTTTCAGTATTAGCAAAGTATATTTTAAGTATTTTATTTGGTATTCACTTTTTAAAATCATTGATATTGATTTTACACCACCGTATATCTTATAATAAAAAAAAAAAAAAAAAAATAATGAATTTTTAATTTATTTTTATTGTTAAAAAACATATTTATCATTGTGTTTATAAATCAGCCACCTCCTTATAATTCTGATGACAAACTGGTTTGAATTGGCTTTATTGAATAACAACGCTCCACACTGATAACATGCCGAAGTTCTGATACCAATCCATAATACCAGTTTTAGGCAGATATAGCACAACTATAAACATAAACCACAATCGGAAAGTTTTTTTACAATGTACAAACATTTATTTTGAAAACGGTTTAACGGTGGTAGGGCCTCGCAATAGCCTCGGCTGTTGCACGAATGGGCAGGCCCGTCCGGGTAAGTACCACGACCTCACAGAAGACCAGCGTAAAGTGGAAGTATGACAAATACTTTCGCGTTTCGTCTGGTGAGTGAGGTAGCCGGAGCCCAATTTTCAAAAGGTTGTCAACGCATCTGTAACCCTCGGGTGTAGCAGATGTCCATGGGCGGCGGTATTCACTTACCATCAGGTGAACCGTCTGCTCGTTTGGAGGGATTGCAATTCTTCAATACGAGATTGGCAGTTAAAACTATTTAATTGGCACTGGGGTGTGCTGGATAGGAAAGTAGACCACATTATTATCAGTCCACTTACTAAACTTGATGTTATAGCTGCAAACATTGTAATAAATTCCAACCTTATATTATTCCAGTTGCAACCCAGTATTGAACTTGAACCAATGGAACATTTTTTTTTTCTTTAAATACATTGCCGTTAGTTTAGGATAACATTATCCTGTGTTGTAAGGACATTTTATGAACATAAATTTCACACGGACAAGCACCCATATGAAAGTATGAAACAACTTTAAAAAAATCATTTGCTGATGCCTTCTCTGAAATAAATTTTGATACTATTACAAAAAAATTCTTTATGGTCATACATGTGATTCTTCAAACTCTTATTGCTTAACAAGTAATGTGGTATATCATTCCGTGGTGCAGAGGCGAAATTGTCCACGGCGGAACCTTGGTAGGTATTTGGATGTTAATTTTTCAGGTCTTGTTATACTGGACGTTGTCACACGTCTGATGATTTGCGATTTTTGTTTGCTTTTACCTTTCTTCTAACCAAAATCTAACCAAATTCTATATTGTAATTATGTTTTGAATTTTTTGCAACGGTTATCTGCCTATCTATCTTACTCTCGAGGTATCATCCTGTAAAGTACCGTTCGCGCCAAAGAATCGGAGTGATCTCCATAAAATCATTATGTTGTTGACTTCGGACTATCTTCGTTCGTCGTGTTGCAGGAACTCTAACGGGAATGTACTTACTGTAATCATGTTTGCGCAACACTCCGGTATAAAGGGATTGTCCCCTAGTGCACGAGAGGTTTTGTTATACGATAATTAAGAGAATATCTACTTGTAATACTAGTTGTGTGTTTTTTGGCTATTGAACATAACTCAGTATACAACCATTGCTTGTCTGTAGGGTTCTTATTTCTACTACTACTCTAAGTAGTTGTAATAAAACTCCTTTAATGCGTTGTTGTGGCAAAACGAACAAGTTTCTGAAGCTATTGTTGGATATTTCCCTGAATAGTGTATATAATACTTTTGGCTATCGATAATTATATATATTATATATAATTATCGATAGCCACCAGGCCGACCTTGTCGAATGTGCAATGCTACAGTAGGTAGTAATCGGTAAGGACAGTTACAATTTACTGAACCCTGTTTCTCTTTAGTCCTAAAAGTTATAATCGCAGTATATATCTTAATACCTGTGTAGTTGTTATGTACACCAAATACTAGAGGACCCGACAGACGTCCTGTAGACTCGACTTAAATCTGATAACAACTTATTATTATAAAAATTGTAGTGAACCGAATTGTGAATTTAAACCATTCCCAAATCGACACATAAAAATTCAGTGACATACAGAGGCACAGATGAATTATATTAAAATATATATAGAGATTATACGAGCAAATTAAGCAGCTTATAATTATACTGATATATTTCTCCATTCCTCTATTTAATAAAGTTCCACAAATAATTAAATGTAACCACATTAAGCAGTGATGGGTATTTTAACGCATAGAAGATCTATCCACTCACCAGCTGAATCATGGATAAATTATATGGAATGAATATAACTAGTAACAAATTCGAAATATGATTCTTTTCCATGGTATAAATTTCCGTGAAAATACGTCGAAAAATATCTCGTGCCATACAGCCATGATGATGTACGAAATACTTTTGATCGGTAATTTAGGTGTAGCGATTTTTAATAAAAGAACTGTCTCTTTTTCTTTAAAAAAAAAGAAAAAGTTTTATGCTCAGACTACGGACTTTCTCTTGAGAATAACTTACTGTCAGATTAATTAAACAGTAAACTAAATACATTTCATCAAAATATTTAGTTAATAATTACATAAAGTTTATTCGTTTAGTTTCATACACGTTTACATATTCAGTGGAACCTTTAGTGATCTATGAATTTCTTCATAACAGATATCGACGAATGTGAAGAGGAGAATTATCACATGTTGCGCACGAATTTACCAATATAATTTTTTTTTATTTATAAAATTTTTATCTCTCTTGCGTTTTAATTTCGGCCTTATCTACTTTGAGCCCGTCGGTTTTTTGCGCTCGGCGCAATTTGCAAAACACACGTTTCCACAAACATTCCGTACGCTTCTATCGCGAGTGAGCGAGACATACGCTGGTTGCGCGCCCCTACTTCAAACAATACCGCTGTCTAGCAGTATGTCTTTTAATGAAGATGCGGTTTTGACGTCATTCATAGTACGTAGCTCTCAGCAGTGTTGTAGTTCGCATCACGGCGTTATCTCTGGAGGCATGTAGTATAATATATAAGGCGATAAAGCGCTGGTACTTTATGATATCACATCCGACGGAGGCGTGTACGCGGCAGTCAACAAACGGGTTTCATAAGGTCCTCTTTAACTTTCAATTGAGAGAGGTTTCATTGCGTTACTACAGTTCGCTGTTGAGAGTCGTATAGTTAATTTCTTTCTTAGACGTTCGAGAAGAGTTAAAATGGCGCTGTACAGGTATTCCTTTATGAGAATTTCGAAAGCATGTTCGTGCATGATTGAACTAATTTTATTTATTTACGAACGGGTGGTTTCTTTCGCGGAGAATGCAAATGCGACTAAATTCTACTAACGCTAAATTTTAGCACATTCATTGCGTTTGCTATTGTTTACTACCGCCGATCGGCCGTCCGACGTAATATAAGTTTATGTTAAAACATATCTTGTTTACACGTTTGTTGCCATAATTATCGTAACAGCATGCGACATTGAACCACAACACGCATTTCCGACCGTTTGCGGCTATAACTGTGTCACTGGAATTTCTGTCGTTGTAATTTTAAAAACAAAACGCTTTCGATGTAATTCAGTTGCATGCCACATTTGTTTGTTAGCTGCTCTCCTTTATCGCCGTAGGCCATTGTTTGATAGATTAAAATTAAAAAAAAAGTTGTCTATTACTGTCATCGATCGAACGAAACTCGGCCGGAACTATCTATTTTATCGGCGCAGATATATAGATTATAGATTATATTGTAGATTAAAAAATATTGTTCACAGTCTGAAAAGCAATTTGCAATACGCCACCTTGAAGACGTTGTCACTGGTCTCGATCAGCGTGATGTCGCCCCAGCAGAGTGTCCAGGAGTTGTTCCGAACGGTGGATTGCGTCTGTTTCGACGTCGACTCCACGGTCATCAGGGACGAGGGCATTGACGAGCTGGCCAAGTTCTGCGGCAAGGGAGACGAAGTCAAAAGGCTGTGAGTAAATTTCTATGTATATTCTTTGCATTGCCGCGTTTATTCAATGGTCGCAGTAACTGGTTACTATCCTCTATTGTATGCCACTGTATTGTAGATGTCTCGATGGCGCCGTAGCTAAGCTTTCGCTTAATAGGCTTCGGCGTTGGGGGTCGTGGACAAGTATTTGTGCGACCCAAAAATAATTGTTCCGGATCTGGGTGTTTGTTTCCCAAGAAGGGCTGAAGACAGGTAGGCGGCCGGTCGTAAAAAAACGTAGCCAAAACCGCTTACAACAGGATTCACATGTCGTGCTGACCCTACCTAGACGGGATAGGAGGATGATGAGTTACTGGTACTATATCCGAATCTTTCTTGAATATGGTTTTAATTTTTTTGTTTCTTTTTTTCTTGTTTTTTGTTTCTTTGACTACAAAAAAGAGAGGTCCTCGATATTACCATATTTAAATATGAATAAGTATTGAAATTTTTTTTCTTTAGTTTTTTTTAAGGTAAAACCTTAGCATCTTGAAGCATACTGTATGGTAAGCGACCGATAGCAGAAACCCGTCTAATCAGTAATTGCGTTTTATTGACAGTTGTTTATGGCGAGATCTTGTTTTGTTCTCATCGCCTACATTTCGGTGACCTAGAATGGATAGTAAAGTCTTCGCGTTTAGCGCAAACAACAAGGTTGAGATAATTTATCGCGATTTTAAATCGATCAGCTTGAACGATACCACGGAGGGCACACCCCAGAAATACGCAGTTTCATTATTAGCTTGTAGCAATTGTGCCACAAGTTTATGGATATAAATTGAAAGTCTTAACAATCTAATAATATTTATATAAGGTTATGACATTAGTTAGCTTAGTTATTTCTTTAAATGACCGATTCGATGAAAATTTGTTAGTTATTTAATGGCAGGTGATGCCCCATTTCACTAAACGACCCGGCGCTCACTTAGTGATAATGTTCTTGGCGTATTTCCAATTAAACTAAGCAAGTCATTTTGTTCAGTATCATTGACTGGTCATTTATGAAATTATAGTATCAGGATTTTTACGCCCAAAACCGCCCGATTCCCACGCAGAACAACTATTTGTGTGACCCACAGATAGTTCGCACCTGGGTGTTTGTCTACGTGAGATTTATAGAGGAGGCAAGGGGTCATAAAAAACCTTGCCAACACCATTAAAACTTGACTAACATTTCGTGGCGCCCCGAACTATACAGGAGTGGGAAAATTACACACATCGCTGGTTTTTATCCAGTTCGAAGGACCATGAATTTATTACTGCATTTGTTTCACTTCTACACATTGAACACAAAAAAGTGTTAGTTCGTTCAGTGAGTTCAGTTCTGTCATACATAAGGCATATATCGGGATTTTTGCGTTGCAACAATCTACGAAATTGTAAAAAAAACTCGAATCGCGAGATAAAGTCTGTTTTGCAGTCGATTTTTGTACGTTGAAGAGTTTTAGAAACATTGACATTGTTTCTTATTGTTTCGATACTTAAGTAATGATTTTATTTACAAATGCGAACACTGTATCGTCAACAAGTTTACGGGTCAGAAGACTTGGCTTCGTTATACTGTCGACTGCTTATTACCGCCACGTGCTCCCAACTGCTCGGAACGGGTTTGCTAATTGACATCGCTCTCGTGCTATGTAATTAACTTCCGTGTATCCGAAATCTGACAAGATTTCCGGTCCGGATGCAATCGTCCAGAATATTTCGTATGAAGTCCCGAATTTGAGCATCGAATGGAAAATTTATTTGTGATGATCACAAATAAATTTTTCACACTGTTTCATTTATCACAGTGTTTTTCTTGTTTATGGGTGTTTACAATTATAACATGCGTTTGTTTACAAAATACAAGTATGTTTTCAATTACCTATGTTTTGAAATATTTATTTTATTTAATACATTGCCTTGCTCGATAGATGCGCAACCTCATGGCTCTATGAGGTCTTTGGTAATACATGATAGACACAGTTGGCAATAACTAGCATTATGTCATCGTTAATGTTAATAACTTTAAATATGATCCAATTCATGAACTTTTTGATTCTCTAACGGAATTACCGTGTTGCTTTATCTGTGAATTTAAAGTAAAAGAAGTAAATGATGTTCAAATCTTAAAATGTAATGTAACTAATAATAAACCGTTGTTATTTTCGATAATTAACTTATTGTTTATATGTTGGGGGCAATTTCGAGACTGCGTAATAATTGCGAGAAAATGGATTTATTCATTGTGAGTATTTTTTTACAGAACGGCTGAAGCTATGGGCGGTACTATGACGTTTCAGGAAGCACTGAAGAAGCGGTTGGACATAATAAGGCCCAGTGTCAGCCAAATCAGGCAGTTCATTGAGGCATACCCCATCAATCTCACCCCAGGAATAGCGTAAGTTGAATTTGTTAAGTACGATGTTAGATTAGTTATAATACAACATTTTAATTAGTATTAAATGACTGTATTAGATGTTAAAGGTCACAACTTATTAGATTATAGACTGTATTAGATGTTAGTAACTACAATGTTGTAATCTCGAATGTTCCAGACGACTTTCCGGTTTTTGCCTCTTCCACGGGAGACAATGTAAACTAATATTCAACTTATTGTAATGCCTTTCTATGTGCATTTATATGCATATCCTTCATTTCGTAACTTCCCAACGCGAGCGTATATAAGTCATCGACCCACTTAACAAGCTGTTTGCGTTTCATCACCGAGGCATACGCACCGCATCGCCCCACCGTTATCGGTGACCCCAAGTGACACGGTCTCAGAGAGAAGTTGGGTCGAATCTCCCCGCAAATCCATATGACAGGCACGTGGACACCTCAAGCAACAAATCAATTCGCCGGTTTTTTTTCGTCAAATCACCTTGCGGTGACGTCACCATTATATTTTCCGATGCTCTTTTGTTCGAAGCTGTCTGATGACCCGTTGGCATGGCTAATAGTGAACCTGGCTCTTGCGTTCAGATTGTGTCAGATCGATGCCCACTAATGGAAAATTGTGCGATGAACACAATGTGTGGTATCCATGCGAGTAGATGACGTTGTGTAAAAATATGCCCCAAAATGCTTGTTTGAAATCAATTCAGCGAGATAAATATAAGATACGTGAGGAACAACGTCGTGGTCTTCGAGGCTGAAATGGAAACGCAACGTAAAACATCCTTACAACGCGGGATTTTTTTTAATGTGACAAACGAGCAGACGGTTCACCTGATGGTAAGTGAATACCGCCGCCCATGGACATCTGCTACACCCGAGGGTTACAGATGCGTTGACAACCATTTGAAAATTGGGCTCCGGCTACATCACTCACCAGACGAAACGCAAAAGTATTTGTCATACTTCCACTTTACGCTGGTCTTCTGTGAGGTCGTGGTACTTACCCGGACGGGCCTGCCCGTTCGTGCAACAGCCGAGGCTGCTGCGTGGCCATCCGCCGTTATTTGGATGATGTTATATTAACACAACAGTAAGGAGCAATGTTTTCGAAGGGAATAGGTCCAGGTCGCAGTGGCCGTTGGAACTTCTACCCAACCCCGTCCGCACGTAATACAATTGCCCCTCTTGACTCTTGGTGTCGTTTCCAGGCAACTAGTGAAGACACTGCAGGACAGGGGTGTCGCCGTGTACCTCGTGTCGGGTGGTTTCCGCTGCCTGATAGACCCCGTGGCTGAGCTACTCGAAATTCCCCTGACGCACGTGTACGCGAACAGAATCAAGTTCTTCTTCAACGGTAAGCTCCCTAGCGGTAGCCGAAGACGACTCCTTTTTTGAAGTTTTTTTCCCGTGGGAAGAATCCTTTATGGATCGCCTGCCATTCGATCGGGGGAGTGGCGGGGGTATGTGAGTCGTAGCGAGTAGGTGCCCACTAAAAATCCCACCTGACACGGGAACAGGTGGACGCAATCTTCCGCGACCTCTATGGCCGTTTTAGGCCTCGTCTACTACACGCTGCTGTGGTGTAAGCCGACGCCGACTGTACACAGAGCCGCTTCGGAACGACAGAACGCTCTCGCAGCTCAGATCTGCGCGGATTCAGAACCGCCTCAGGCGTTCCCGAGTTCAAAGATTGGCTATATAGTTTTTCCACAGTGGTGTTTTAAACCAGCGCACTAATATTGGGGCACTCGAATCTAGACATCTATCTCTTTCCGTGTCATACGTTCTACATCCACCGTCACATTCACTTAAAGTAATGTAAAGCGGAACAATTTGTGAACGCATCGCAGTATGGACATGCGTCATCTATATTATTAAAAATCATTGGCTTTTCACAACTTCTATTATAAATAAATAAATATTTTAGGACACATTCGTTTTACACAACGTTCTCTAGTCCCAAACTAAGCAATGCTTGTACTATGGGTACTAGAAAACTGATAGACATACTTAAACATACTTTTCTTTTGTAAATAAATACATATTATATATTATAAACACCATGACACTAGAAAAACGCTATGCTCATCACACAATATTTTTCCAGTAGTGGGGATCGAACCCACACCCTCTCGCGCAGAAGGCAGGTACACTACCGACTACGCCATTCGGATCGTCAAATTCGTATTGAAACACGCGAAAAAGTTTCCGTGACAAAAAAGTAAGCGACTTCAATTTTGGAATAAGAATAAACGGCATTAACGCCTTATATTATAGTTCGTAATGAAATTTCGCAAGTCGCGCGATGAATTCGTGATATCGATAACATTTATAGCCTTTAATAGCGACAGCTGTTATGGAAAGATATTGATTAAAATTAATCGTCTTCTCGGAGGTGTTTTTTTCTCTCGCCTTTATCGAGACGAGCCGCAGTGATGTGGCAGTGTTTTGTGTATCATCTATCCCTTTCCGTTCCGTTGAGTGCGAGCGTGATGGCCTAATGACAAAGACATTTACCTATTAGCGCGATAGCTTTGTACTTCATACATGTAACAAGATATCTGTTTCGATAACCGTCGGAGACATTTAAAAAATCGATTGTGCGTTAATTATCGGCTTAAATCGGTAATTCCAATCGCAGAATCGATAAAACCTCTTCGGGCTGGAGTTCATCGAGAGCGATAACGAGACCCGTGGGGGTCGCTGTTGACTTTTGAACTTGCTGATACGTAATACGAGTTATGCGTAAACTCGTAACATGGTGTTCTAACTCGTAATGTCGTAACATGCTTAGATATCGGATCTTTAAGTTAACGCTGCGTGATTCCGTGTTTCGTCTGGTGAGTGAGGTAGCCGGGGCGCACTTTATTAGAAACTACATTTGTCAATGGGCGGCTGCTATCACTTAATATCAGGTGAACCGCCAGTTCCCTTGCCACTATTTCACATAAAATCAGCAAAAAAAAAAAGTTGTATAATAGAGGCCCGTAGTTTCCGCCTCGGAGAAGATCGTCATATATTTTGGGGCCCTTTAAAGGTAACCAGTGAAACTGCAAACTCCTTGGATGTTCACGCCATGCGTACACTTATCAGAAAGACACTGAGCACGAACCGCTTCTCACCCAGTGTGAAACTAGAAAGAGATAGATAGCTATCTAGCTGAGCCTTTCACTGCACATATGTGTGATCTTAAAACTCTAAAACATTACAACTTCGATCTCATTAGGTCCAAAATGTGTAATCAATTTGTTGCTAAGTTTGATAAAAAATTTGCACGCATTTTACTTTTTTAATTTTTATTCCTTGAAGTTGTTTTTAATGGTTCAACACGAACGACAAAACATATTTATGTATTCAGATTACTCATTCATTCTCTTTCCTTGACATTATTCATTGTTTACCGATCGATTTAATGTTAATGCAATGTTGAGGTTTTATTTCTAAACGTTCCGATCAAATTACATTTACCATTTGATGTTGGCGTATTTTTTGCACTTAGCTCTTTGCAGAAAAATGTTTAAATTATCAATTAATACATTCGGCGCAAAGAAATTGTTTTATCGTCTGTGATATTTTACTATCTCTTAAGAACGATTTCAATAAGATAGTTTCGGATAAGTACATGTGCCTAGAGGTCATGAGATTACATGTAGTATGAATCATTTTACGTCATTCTCTGTGCTTCTATAGTTCTTCCCCTAAAGGGGCAACCCATTCAATTAATAAATAAAGAAGCATCACACTGCCCCACCGAATGATTACAGAGGTTAGAGTATATATCGTATTGTGCGAATGCGAAACAGTATCGAAGAATTGCGTGGGCTCATCGGTCAGCTGGGACGCTTATCAAACGCACGCGCTCTTCGCGTGTATGGACTCCGCCTTTAACGCAAACGCAAACGGAAACGCAATCGAAACTGGGGCGCGGACGACACAGTTTACGTGCGGGAAATTGTTTTCGTCCCCAAGGTTGGCCGTTTCAGTAACACGTGAAGCTAGCTATCGGCGCATAATCTAAATTCGGACTTGTTACTTGTTGTCATGGCAACGGAGCGCGTAAGTGAGAAGAAAAGAGATACGTGATAGAACGATAACATCTCTATCAATAGATCTTGCTGCACGATTTGTTCGACTCGTACCGCAGTCCCGTAAACGCCAAGGTCACCTCAATTACCATTGGAAAAGGGAAATAACAAATCCTGTACGTCCCTCTTCTACGAGGTCGTGATAATTCTCGGTAGAATTAGATTGACAGATCACTCGGTCACAATAGATTGAGTGAGTAGTAGCAGATTGGTACTCTATAGCAGTACGATCATTTATACGCCTTACTTCACAGATTACTCCATACAGCTAGACGGTCGTGAAAGTATAACGTTTCCTCCACTTATTATCGCATCAATTCGATTTCACAACATCGGGCAATCACAACAGAAATGTGCGATCATATTATCGAAATCGTCATTACGGATAGCGTCGTTTAATAATGCACCGAGTTTCTCACTAATTTTTTGGTTCAAATTTTATTGACCGCGTTTTCAAAGACATTCGAACCGCGTTTAATTTATGACGAATCGGTATATAAACAATTGGGCGATAACTTCTATTAATTTTAAATCGCTTGTGATCTTTCCGTGATCTTCCTTTCGAACCGTGATTAATATAGGATTGTCATATTTTACGTGAAAAGTTGGCAAGTGATCGAGCACTGAATTCAATTGTCAACGTACATCTTCATGTCCCTTCCACTACGTTCACCCTCAGGTTACAGCAATGAATCGGTCGACTTGCTCAAAGTAAAGTATCAGCCTATACATGTCCCACTGCTGGGCAAAGGCCTCCTCTGTACAGAGGGTATCAGGGCATAGTCCACCACGTGGCCCCACTGCGGATTGGCGGACTTCACATATCTTTGAAATATTTTTTTTATTATTTCGAAAATATGCGGGTTTCCTCACGATGTTTTCCTTCACCGCGGAGCGCGTGATAAGTCAGCACTTAAAGTTAAAAACTTCATTGGTGCCGGCACCGGAGATCGAACTCAGGTTGCTCGAGTATATTGAATTAAAGGCGAGCGCCCGGACACTGAGCTGACACGGCTTGCTTATTATTTTGTTTTTTTTATCTAAGAAGATGGCAAGTGAGCTGGCGGCTCACTAAGAGTTAAGTGATAAACGCCGCCCATGGACATTTACAACACCCATAGGGTTGCAGACGCACTGCCGCCTTTTAATAAATTGGCCTCACTCACCAAAACGAACGCAGAAGTATAACACTTGCAATTCACGCCGGTCTTCTGTGACGCGGTACTTCCCCGGACGGACCTGCCCATTTGTGCAACAGCGTAGACTGCTGCCAGGCCTTCCCGCATATAAAACTGATGTAATTGTTGATCTGCCCATTTGTGCGACCGGCCCTAAAACATAATTTTGAAACTGATGTAATCGCACTCTTGCTCCAGGCGAGTACGCGGGCTTCGACGAGAACGAGCCCACTTCACGATCGGGCGGCAAGGGGCTGGTCATCAGGCGGCTGAAGGAACAGTACGGCTACCAGCGGCTGGTGATGATTGGCGACGGCGCCACCGACGCAGAGGCGAGCCCGCCCGCCGATGCGTTCATAGGTACGCGCGCAGACCAGCGTTTCTCAAACTTTGGTTTCCTCCATTACCCATCTATTATAACTTTGGTTTCCTCCATTAACCACCAGTAGTGGACCAGCGCTTTCCAGTTTTAGGTTTCTATAATTAATCATCAGTTGTAGAACAGCGCTCCCAAATTGGTGCTTGTTACAATATTCATCAGTAGTATACCAGCGCTTTCCAAACTTATTCTTTTTACATTTATCACCAGGACCCAAGCATCCGCTCATCTAAGAGAGGGAATGTGGATATTTACAAACGTAGCTTGCGTCCCCCAGGGCTATGTTTGGTAGATACACATGTTGCCCAAACTTACTAAGTATACTGGCTATCGGTGGAATCTTAGTAGTTTCCTAAATTTCGGCCTACAGCCAATATAATAAAGCTTAGATTCCTCCACCTCTAAACCATGGTCGGACCTGTATTCTTATTATTTTGCCTTGAACGAACTTATTCATCCGTGCTCAGGTGAAAAATCACCCAATTTATTTTCTAACAGAGATTACTTCTCGCAGGCTTTGGAGGCAACGTTGTGAGGGAGGAGGTTAAGAAGCGTGCACTGTGGTACGTGACAGACTTCCAGGAGTTGATCAACTGCCTCAACGTCCAAGCGAAGTGAGAGCCCAAAAAACGCCCGCTTAGAGAAATTTTTTCGTGCAATCGAATACCTTACCGCATCGCAATAGACGCTCTCGCGACGGACCTTAGATGAATTTAGCAAAAGCACCGACACAACTGTAATGCAATTTAAATCTTGTGAGCTTGGATTTAAGTGCGGACTCCGATTGCGCGTTTATTGTGACGAAACATATGTTCGGATGTTTGTGATTTTACTACTAAGTACTCTAAGTACAAAGCGTTTTAAGTATTATCAGGGCCTAGCTCTGTGATTTGTGTGAATTTTTGTAATATCTTTGCATCAGATCAATATAAAATTTATATTTCGATTCGATTTTGTATCGTATGTTTGTTAGGACAACTAAGTTATTCAATATTATTGTTATGAATATTGTTTATTATAAATTTTATTTAAGTCTATATGTTTCGATGTTATTTAAGAACAAGTCAGTTGTTGTTGTAATCTTGTTTTCATTATTGTCCACAATTCGGTGTAATGATGTCAGTGATGTTCGAATGTCTTCCAAATTATCTAAATTATTTCGACAAAAATGGCTGTGTATTTCTTAGATTTTAAGACGAATTAATATATTTTTTAAGTTTTTTTTGGCGTATTCTTTCCCATTTATTCATCTCTAATACTTAAAGATTTTGTTAAAATAAGTCTCGACAACCATGGCCTTTTTTATGGGAAAAAGGCAGCAAACGAGCAGGAGGCTCACCTGATGATAAGTGATCACCGCTGCCCATGGACATCTGCAGCACCAGAGAGCTATACAAAAAAGCCTCACCATAGACAGGTGTAAAGAACGAAGTGAGAGTATTCGAAAGAAATAGGTGAAATGGAAACGTGTTTACTTTTATATATGATAATAAATCCAAGTCTTCTGTTGTATATTTTGTTTGTCTTACCGAAATTGGTCTTTAATATTCGAAAAAATTGCCTTCCTTTATTTCGATAGTTATTTTGCAGTTATATGTAATTGCTACAATTTTTTTCCCAGGCGCTTCAGTTTTGTATTTATTATTACTAAACGACTCGCGTTAACAATAATTAGTGCAGCAGACTTCGGTCATTGATCTAGTAGAATAAATAGATTATTAACTCTCAACCTCAAGATTGTAGAATCGTAGGAGAAGATGTCCGATGCGACCTAGGGATTGCCATCGGATCCTTTTACTGAGTGACCAACGGACTCGCTAGAGCCAAATTGGCCTCTGGAAAGCGGTGGAGATTACACTTTAACAAAGTTACGATACGAACGATGGCTATTTGTTCTGAGAAATAACGCTTCCTACTTTATTTACAAAGCAGTTTTGAACCACCCCTTAGATTTAGCTACAACTATCACAAGGTTATGAAAAAATATTTACAAGAATAATAATCTATACTGAAGCAATGTAGATTAAAAACATAAATTACAAATTAACGCACTTCCAAATATACGTAAATCGAACAGTGACAGCTTGTATAAGAAAGAAAGATCAATCAATTTATCAATCAATTAGTTTTAATGAGCTAATCATTAAAACTAATTGTTATTAGAAGCTATAAAGTCAATATTAAAGAAATATTATTATACGTCATTGCCACGCCATTCCATTAGATGGGAAGCATTAAATGATTCACGCAAGTGCTCGCAATTGTAGCCAAGATGCTGTCGGTGCACCCTACACGCGTCGCACCAGAGACCTCTTACGCGTTGTGGCGAAAAATTAATCTACAGGCGCCTCTGCAAATATCTTTTCTACTTATAGAATAGCTAAGGAGTGTTGTGCGTTAATTTAATGCAACGTTTTAAAAATTTAAATTTTCTATAGTGCTAATCTCTGCACTTAAGATTTAACATTAAATTTGTAGAAAAAGTACGAAAAGATTGTAAAGATTGAATGCCAAAGACGTGGGTTCGATTCCCACAGCGTCGACAATATTTTCGTACTTTTTCTACAAATTTAACGCAACGTTTTGTTCAAAACTATTTGAGAATACCGAGACAGGACATGGGGATTATATCGATTTAGGCATTTAAAATTTTACTTTACTAAATATGTTATTTACGAATTTTGATATCGGTCTATTCACAATAAAGAAAACAATATTAATATTAAAAAAATATCGCGTTATGTACGAATACAGGTTCCACACTGGCACCATAGCTGTAGAAACAGCTGGAAGGATTAATTATGCGTATAGGGAAAACGAATGTAAATGAAAACGCGGTACGCTTTTGGTTCTTACGTTTGTGCTCTAGTGATTTTGATCTACGGAATAAACCCCATGGAGGTGATCATGGAAGCAGATCCATCGCGTTAGAGTTAGCGGCAGGCTTCTATGTCAGTGACAAAACAATTTTAATTCACAATTGGAACTCGTCGAAAAAGTGAAAAAGAGATATGGGTACCGCATGAATTGAATGAAGAACACAAACTAAAACGCATTGAGTACTGCGTTAAATTGTTGTAATTTTACCATTACAATAACGTGGGAATTTAGAAATCGTAATGTTATTTCTGATATAAAATGGATCCTTTACGACAGTCGAAAACGCTTAACGGTGTCTTATGTCCGTAGCGAGAGTTGATTCAGAAAAGGGTATTGGTTAGTGTTTGGTAGACCAGTGCTTCATTTAACACTACAGGTTCTTAAGATCTCGCCAGACGATTACGGCAGATCTAAATTGTCGACAACCGCAACCATGATGGAAAAGGTCGCTATTTAACAAGCGATATTGTTCAATTGCTCTAGCCTACTGGTGCTTCAGGGCAACACTAGAGCTCATACTTCACGACGGTCGGTCGCTAAATTATAAGAGCTGCGTTGGGAATGTTTTCGACACCATTATCGCCAGGACCTTACTCCAACAAATTACCAAATTTGTTTTGCAATGATTTCTTGCACGGAAAATAATTAAATTCCGATGGGGCAGTCCAAATCGCCATCAGAGAGCGCTCCAACAATTTTTCCAGGAATAGAATCAATGGTACCTAATGACTGATTAAATATATTATAGAAGATTATTAGTATAGACTATTAATAGTACGGCTGTTAAAAGGTTAATAGTATATGAGTATAGATGTCTAATATTATGGAAGTTAAATTATTAAGGTTGCCTATAAAAACTCGTGCGGAGCTACGCTAACTTTTACGGTGGTAGAGCCACGCAGCAGCCTCGGCTGTTGCACGAATGGGCAGGCTCGTCCGGGTAAGTACCACGACCTTACAGAAGACCAGCGTCAAGTGGAAGTATAATACTTTCGCGTTTCGTCTCGTGAGTGTGGTAGCCGGAGCCCAATTTTCAAAAGGTTGTCAACGCATCTGCAACCCTCGGGTGTAGCACATGTCCATGGGCGGCGGTATTCACTTAACATCACGGTGAACCGCCTGCTCGCTTGGCAACTTTTTACATAAAAAAAAACGCTCTGGGGGAACCGGTGATCGGTCGTCAAAGCGTAAACGAGATTTGTTATTATTCTTTTATTGCCAAGAAAATAATACAGTGTGCAGAGATTATGTTCCTTCTGTTGTGTTAATTTTCTCTTTAAAAAATAAATTCCTGACGGATATTCTGGAATATAATTTCAAATATGTGTTTTATTTAGTTTTACTTTTTCCATATAAAACGTGAATTTCATATGTAAGGATATTATTGATGTGAATAGTGCGGCTTAACTGGAGTGAATATGTAAGTTAATAAATTTAATCGTAAACTTTATTGAGCAATAATTTAAGTTTGCATTTTACTAACGGTATTATTTGATTAACATTTTTATTATTCATGAAAACATTTCTATTTGCGATCGTCTCTCGAATCACTTCAAAATTAGAGCTGGTATAATACTGTAGCAACTTGAGTACAAACCCGGGTGCTGACATCTATCTAGTAGAAATTATTAAGTTTTGATTACCGTGGTAGACGATGAATGAGACATTGTGAGCAAACCTGTATATCATAGAAGTAATCAGAAAGGTATTTCGAAGGTACGTGTTGTCCGCCAATTCGCAGTGGTGTCACGCAACGAATTGCAACCTAATATGTAGGTACTCTCGTTAGAGAAGATAACATTGCTCAATAGTGGTATGTGTAATACATAGGTTATTATCTTAGTTTGCTTGAACAAAATGGAACTGTTCCAGATTGTTTGAATTTGGAAGTTCACAACCAATTAAAAAGTGCATTACCATGTTTTGTAAACTTAGTTTTGCAAACTTCCTGACAAATTAAAAATGGTTCTCTTCACTCAAGAAACCCTCAATACTTAATTTGGCGAATACTGCTCTTCCAAATTGAGACTTTTACAATCGCAAAAAATATCGCCTCATACCGCTAATGTTTATTTATTCCATTGCTTATCGTTGGAGGCATAATGAATCTATAAAATAATATAATCGCCTATAATTACTACATTAATTTATTAATTTACAAAGGCAAACAAAAGCGAGTAATGAAATCAAATGGAGAGTTAGTTAATTAAACTTGCAATTTTATGTTTCTCTTACGCCCGGTTTCTGTAACACTGATCATCGTAGAAATTAACTAATCAGCTGTCAAAAGGCTTTTCAAGGCTTTTATTTAAGTTGCCAAAAGGATGGTTAAATTCTTTGAATAGATCATTCTGATCATTAAGAAGATCATTCTAAGAAACATCAGTGTTTAAGAAACCCGGCATTAGCCTTAGTACCTAGTCATATTTCGATATACATATAAATTTACGATATACATATATGTATATGTCTTTTATCTCAAATTGATATTTTTTCTTTTAATCTTAAGGGTATTTATAAAAGCGATGTTTAAAGAAAAAAGAACTAAAAGATCGTTAATTTTAAGTCCATTTGTAATTTAGATAACTGCGCTTACATTTAAAGAAAACGGATACAGTTAATGCATTTCGAAACTTACACGATATGTTAATTATTTATTAAATAAAATATGTACTTCTTATATTATTGTTATATTTTTTAAAATAATTTTGGCATATTGAATGATACTCTAAAATACAATCACTAACAATCCTTAAAAATAAACATAAACAAATTAAAAAGTAGTTTCAAAACGCATTTCTTGCCTCATCCGGCTATTAAATTATGTATTAATACTTATATTTAATTTATTAGTCTACCGTAACGTAAATACGGTGTCGAAAACGTCGGCGGAAACGAAACGGCGCGCCGGCGCGGCGTAACCGTCGTATTTCGAACTTTCAACTCTAAAAATACATCTTTGGTGACCCCGCACAACTCCGCCGCAGTCGCAGCGCGCTCGGAAAGGTCAAATCGCGCCCGACATGTCGCGGCCCATTGTTCGGGCGATAATTCACGCGCGACCAATCGCGAATTACGCGCCAATCGCTTCCGCGTCAAATATCGATTCGGTGTGTCGATGATCGATAAAATTCCGATGTCCGCGACGCTTCGAGTGATGTGATCGACTTGTTGTGCCGTTTGGTGATTCTCGGAGGGCGGATTTTGGTTATAACCGCGTCCGAAAATTGGGCATGACTCTTTGAAAATTTGTTTTGTTTACGGTTCTGGAATTTTGTCTATAAGCACTTTTGGAAACATTCTCAATCATGATTATAAAATTTAATTAGGAAACAAAGTTTCTACACATTCGGTTTCTTTAGTGTTTTTTCGTTTTATGAGTTTATCACAAATTAGGAGACAGTTTAATGTAATTATTTAGATTGTTTAGAATTATGGTTTACTAACAATTTCAAAGTGTTTAATATTTTCTTTTACTGAATAATTATGTCAAAAATGGATAACAGTCTTCCTATTTGTTAACAAAATTTACTAATATTAAGTAATATTTAGAAGCAATACTTTATAGACATTTGAGGTACGGGGCATGCGAAATAACACGCTTCTTTAGTTAAACAAAATTAACGATGAACTGACGAAGGATACAGTTAACAGTTTCCGTTAACCACACGCAGTTATACTGATGCAAAACACTCTGTATTTGGCAAAAATGTTTTGTAACTACCTTGTAAGCTTCAAACATGTTATAAAATGATCAAATACCGTTATTAATTGCACACATAAGCTACGCACTTCGTTCATTCATTGATAATGTAACAAAGTGATACGTTTCAGCAATGAGTATTACCTTTTTATAACTTCTTTTGAAAACTTTCTTTTGTTTTACGTTAAACGTAATAATATATAAAAGTGTAGGTTTGTATCTCGGGAGTGAGTGATGTTTCGAATAGAGGGTGGAGGAATAGAGTATTAGTACGCATAGAAGACCGGCGTGTGGTGGAGGTGGTTTCGCGTGTCGTCTAGTGAGTGAGGTAACCGGGGCCAACTGTTTTAGAGTTTGCGATGATTATCACTAAACATCAGGTAAACCGTCTGATCGAACACACACATAAAAACACTTTTTATGGATTCATCGGTTCAGTTCTTCTAATGGTGTCCATCTCTGGATGCAGAACTTTCATTTGTCTTATTCGCAGCATAAGCTTCTCAGCAATCTGGTCGGGGATGGGAACAATCCCGTATTTGGGCATCCATCTCGGCTTGGTGCGCCTCATCGCTGTCATTACGATCTTATCGTTGTCGCGTTTCAAAGAGGTAGGGCTATAAACGAGTTCCTTCAGAAATTTGTCGTGCAAAAAATGATCCGGCCTAAACGTTTCGGCGTCAACAGATTCCATTATCGGTTGCGGCGCCGGCGCGGTTGTCTCGGAAATCGTAGTTGTGGTCGCTTCTGTTGTAGGCACTTTTGTCGTTGGCGTTGTTGTCGTTGTCGCTGCAGTTGTTGTCGACATTTCTGTTGTTGTTGTCCGTGAAGTTGCCTTTGAGGTCACTTGTGTGGGAACGACGATGTACGGATACGGGTAGTAGAAGTAGCCGCTCGGGCTGTTCGCCTGCGCGCATTTTGCGCAGAAGTCGACGCAGCACGGCCTCGGAGCGTAGCATGTATCGCAAGAGCATTCGCATTCCTCGAGACGGTAGTTGTAGTTGTTTAGTGGGAACGGAACCTGCTGTCCGTAGAAGCTGGCCTGCGACATTCTTGGGTACGCGATGTTCAACTGTTGCTGTTGATTGAAGAACTGGCCAAAGTCGAACTGCGCGTTTCCGACGTCCAGCATTACACAAAGAGCGAAGATAGTTATCTGAAATCATTACTGAACTAAATAATTTGATCTAAACATCAGAAGAAAGGAATATATGCTGTAAAGGGTATAACAATAGATGCGCCAAGCATTGCTTAAAATGCGAAAAAAAGTAATGTGGTTAAAAGACGTTGAGATTTTCGTCGGTGTGGCAATCGGCCGTTTAGTTTAGTGGTTAAATGCGATGTAGTGCGAATCCGGAAGACGTGGGTTCCATTCTCACAGCGGCGGGAAACTTTTCGTCCTTCTTCTACAAACATTAACTGTAATATTATGTTCAGAGTTCGCGCAAATTTAAGAAAACATGCAAACGTTTTGTTGACCTTTTGTTGTCGTTGTTGCCATTTTTTAAACAATTTATTGTACTTTATGTACATATCCCTGGTATTATTAAATTATTAAATGAAACTTTTTGTGGATTTATCACGTTTTTCTTAATAATAATTCTATTCGTTTCGGATACTGCCTTGATGGTTACACAAAATATAAAACATAAAGGACAAAACAAGTCTGCAGTGACAACACCACTAATCGTCCTAAATACTATATATTAATAGGTTTGATAAGCCACAGATCCTTGCAAAAGAACACTGATTTGAATTAATCGCGAGTCTGTTGAAATTAAAAAATACTCTAATTACAATAGAAAAGACGGTCGAGTACTGGGAACATACCATTAATAAAATTAAGACAGAATTCTATTAGATTCAATGAGCATCTTCTGTGTAAATCAGACACAAAACAAATTATTCCAAAAACTGGCGGTAGCCCGAGTTAACAATGACATTCAGACGTCTAACGCCTCAGTCCGTCCCGTGACCATGAACGCTGTAAAGTGTTTGAAACGTCGGGGAATTAAAATTAAAAATAAACGCGATAAATCCTTAAAAATAGTTTCATTTAGTAATGTGTACCACTCGTAGAAATATAAGATTATCACGTCACTGCTCTATATAATTGTTTTGAACTGAATGAATTTAATAATTGCGTAAAACATCTAATAAAAAGCAAATAACAAAAACAAACAAAAATATATTTTGAACACAACCTGTATACTAAGACAATTAGTCGAAAAGAAGCATTTAAAACACAAAGCATATACAAACTCATACATATTTGTAGCAGAGTAACAAATTAATGGAGAGCTTTAAAAATATGTAAAGAAAAGAGACAGATACACACCAATTTCATAATACTGCTGTGGTGGTAACTTTTGATTCTTCATAACCAGTTACATCTTCGCGGTTTGGGAGCGTCTCCGTAAATACAACGTCTGTAATGCCTGTAATTGGGTTGTGCAGGTGCGTGTGTTAGATTTTTCTCTTTGCCAAAGTTAGAACGACTTATTGTTCCGCGTTATATAAGCTTCGCGTACTGTTCAAAATGGGCATTCGCCAACAATGCCCTGGTGCATTATTTATTTTCCATGCCGTAACAATTAATTAACGTTTCGTTCGATTGCAATGAGAGTTATTAGAATAACACTTTTTTTAGGGAATTCTTTTATATAAATGAACAAAAACTATATGTTCGTATCTATTCATCTTCCGCCCAGATTCTGGGCGCACAATTTAAAGTTTCGTCTTGAGTGCAAAGACTAGCACTAAAATAAATCGGTGGCTGGGGCGGTGAGAACCGCCCTGGAATGGGGGTGTATCTTGTGTACGCGTTGAGTTGGTATTGCCGTACTCGAATGTGAGCGATGCGATCTGATAGGATATGTGTGGGTATAGTATCATCTAGAGGGAGCCCATACCTATATCCCCTTTCCCTATGAGGGCGATAAGAACTAGAGTAGGAATTGGACCAACGTAAAGTATATAATATGTAAAGCCGTGTTAAATGATTATGCTTATTCGAGTATATGTGGTTACACTAATAATAGTTTGTCCAGATTATTGGACATTTATATTTTCTGTATAATTATAATGTTTACTGTTTTTATACTAATGTTATATTATATTTCTTTAAAAAAATATAATTAGATTAGACTAGATCGTTGATCGAAACCGCTGGTTATTATATGAATTCTTGAAGTCTAAATGAATAAAGAACATTTAATGAATTTGACTTATTAACAATTTATTAAATTTAGATTAGCTAACACGCAAATAGTTTCACCCGAGTTGAAATTTTTGATTAATCATTATTGTCTCTTTAAGAATCGAGTTTGTCTGCACATTGAATGCTTTTGCCATGTGTCTTTTATCAGTGCTATATTGCAGTTTGGTTTAATTTTGGCTGTCGCATTACTAATGCATTTCCGACCCAAACATTTTGGCCAGGTTGTCGGGGAGCGACACTATACCGTACTTGGGTAGCCGATCCGGCCTCGTCTGCCTCAAAATCCTCTCGATTTCGAGGAATTCCTCCGATTCCTCCTTCGCGTAGGGCGCGGGCCTGTCGCTCAGCAGCCCTTGATACTTGTTCCGGTGGTAATGTGCGCCGTCGGCGTCCCTACAGATGCCCCTCGGCGGGCAGTATCTCAATTTGGACAAGATCGGTGGCGCCGTGGACCCGGTCTCTGTCTGCGTTTTGGTGAATGTTCCTTGGCCGGTCAGCGGAACAGTGGAGCGGGTGGGCTGCGTTTCGTGCCCAGGCACTTTCGAGTGATCCGTTTGTACCGGTGCCCATGTCGAGGTGGTCGTGGACGCGTCAGCGGTCGTGACGTCGGCTGGAACTGTCACAACCAGCGGCACTGGGTACGGCACGTAAACGAGGTCGCGCGGCGAGCACATTGCGCAGGCCTCGGCACAGCATCGTTTCGGAACTACACAGTTATCGCACGAGCATTCACAGCCGCGGGAATCCCCGGAATCCTCGTAGAAGTCTCTCCCGTATATGTCTTCGCCGATGCGGTATATTCTGTTCCGCCGCGGGCGGAGCCTTCGTATAGGTTTCTTCGGCCATTCGTAATAGTCGACATCGGACCGGTAATGGTACCTCAGCTGGTCGTAGCCGAACAGCCCGCCGTGGTGCACGGCCAGGTTTTGGGCGATAAACGATACAGCATGAACCGTTATGATCTGTAATAGAAACGGAAACGTCTATATAAGCTAGCACGACACAACAATACGTTATAGTTTTTCGTTATAAAAATCCACCATTATCATAGTTTTCATTGATGCTTTAGAGAAATTGTAATTTTGTTTGATTAACTAATGATACATTTGTAGGTTTGCGTTATTGGCGTTTTAAAACTGCCTCGAGCTTGTGATACTGTTTCAAAATTCTAAGCGACGGTTGTGAAACAGTTCTCTTATCATGAGCGTATTAAAATTGAGTGATTTACGAGCATACTACGAATTGGAACACCTTCAGCTGGCTACTTGAGCGTTTCCGATAGTTTTGGATGACGATTGTACATGATTATCACAAAGGCTTTATGAAGCTTCAAGTAATAAAATTATTTCGCCCCATTTTGCTTATTTATATTCTTTATAACAATGTTTTTTTGTCTATATAATTATGTCGAATGTATGAATGGATAAAACAAAGGTTATTACTAGCGTCTGCCTTGTTTGCCACATTGGGAATAATTATATTCTACTAAATATAATCTGAGGGACTTAACGCGTGCAAAAAGCACATTATCACAATATTTGTATATAAAAAATATTATATATATTTTGTATTTTTATACAAAAAATACATTGATTTAAGTGCTATGAAGTCTATACTCAGGCAAAACGTAGTCGTTGGCGAAAATTGTTTACAGTCTGTAAAATTAGATTCCATTACAAATCATCAAATAGATTTGATTAATAACTGTGCGTGTATGATTTAAATTTCGCACCCGGCCTTTTTCACAGACAAATCAATGACAAAAATTCGTCGAAGTGACGCGGACGAAGAGCCGAAGTCAGGTCACATGTCGGCGCGTGCCAAGCGTCTTAGTACTAATATAGTATCATCCCACGCAGACCGACGTCGGCGTCGCGACTCCGTTGACGTCCCATCTGGGGAAGGGGGGCGGTGGGGGGACAGCGGGGCGGGGGGTAGGCGGGGCGGGGGGGCGAAGGTGGAGGGTCACGACCTCGGCCCGGCGGCTCCTGAAATACTCCTAGGCGTGGAATGAAGCCAAAAATGTCAGCGCGAACGCCCGAAGCCAACTGCAATCGTCTATCGGTCACCGCGTGCTAATCTCATCGGCGGGAAAAATAACGCCGTGTTCGAAATTTTACTTGTTTCAAAAGATATCAGACGCCTTTGGATCCTTATGAGCACATACTTGTTTTTTTTAAGTTGTATTTCTTCTGTTACGTTTGAGAAAAATGATGAGTAAATTTTTATGATGCGCGAAACCTAAAAGCTAATAATCTAACCTCATGGTGTTTCCATGGAAACCATTAATAACGTTTTTGATTTACGTATAACTTCAAGTTATTTAATTAAACCGATCAATTGCAGTGATTTTTAAATTGAGTCTTTTTTAACAAATAAAAAAGACGAACTTTTTAGTTATTTTTCTTTTGTTACGCTAAAGAAGTATAACTTCTTATGAGCGTAGATAAGTGCACACACTTATTTTTTTAGGTATATATATTATGTATAATACTTCACACTACTCCGGGTCCTAGTTCCGCTCTTAAATTTCAGTCTTTTGTGAAAAAGTGATTAAAGATCACGGTAGTAAACAGCCTACCCTGTTAAAGCGATATATTTAGGAATTTTTTTAGAATCTTCAAAATTATTAATGATATTATTTAAATATAAACAAAACATCTTTTTAGGGTAAAACGATTGATATGAAACAAAGTAATACAGAGAGCAGTGTACAAACATCAATAAATCTTTTGGAAATTTACATAGTATGTAAATATGTAGATTATATTACTTAGATAATCATCAGTAAACACTATGATGGTTTAATTTCAAAGCTCTAATAACTTGAGCGTGTTAAGAAATTTCTAAGGCAGCGTTTTAAGTTTAATTGAGCATAAAAGGTGAGTGTCTATAGCGTGCTATCTCTTTTACCCCATACTGTTAAAAGACGTCAGAGAGTTTTCTTTATACTAAGGGTCTGTTTCACAATGTCTGAATAAAGTGTTGGATAACTAACTGACAAATAAATTAACTGCCACATAAAACTTCCTGTTAAAATAGTTTGCGTTTCACAAACGTCTTACCATTAAGTTTATGCGTCAGTTTGTTACTTGTAAGATAGAGATGGCAACATCGCATTTTGGCGTTTCGATTTACGGGAAATGTGAGAACATATAACATTTTTTTAATTTAATCATTCTTGAAAGCATTCAAAATGCATTATTTTGTGTTACGTATTTATATACCTGAAATACATACTCTTAAACAATTATAATGATACAAAAACATTTTTAGATTAATTGCAATATTGTGCAACACCACACATGCTACAATTACAGACTGGACACGAGACGAATGTATATTATCTTTTTTGCTAATATAGGAAACCTATTTTTACAAACAGCGTAAGTCCGCTCAAGAAGATTCCTAACTCTTATTCGTTATAGAGATGTTCTGCTGGTGTAACAGGATTTTGAAGTGGAGTCAATAGATAAAATGTATTTTCTTAACCTTTATCACCAACAAATACACTATTACCAAATTCTCTGTTCAAAAATCTTTGTTTTATTACGAATCTTTAAATATTGTTTGGTCGTGTGTGGCTTCAGGCCATCTAGCCACTATTTCCATTATTTTCAAGTCTGAACTAACTATTGTTTGAAAATTGAATGAGAATCGGCGTTTTCTGTTCCGATAGCTTTCTGCATTGTCACCACCTGTAGATTTTATTGGGACGTGGGTACAATGAATGGCACTAATAAGCCTTGGAAATCTAGCTATCTATATAAGGAGACATTAAAGTCTCCTTATAATTCAGTAATATCTTCTGGGAACTTAACAAACTGTACGGACACAGTTCAATGTCGTGCGATTGCTTGTGACACCACATTCACAATTCGACAAGCTGATGCCTTACTCACTCCAGTAAAATCTCCAAATAAGTTCAGAAAACTTCCAGTTGCATAATATCGTAGTGTCAACAGAATTAAATTCATAGATGATATAGCATAATTCCTGAAACAATGATTATTCAAGACCTATTAGAAACAAAATGGATATTAAGTAGATAGACATTTCACTACATACGTTATTTATAAAAAATAAAACACATAATGACATTTCTGTACTAGAAGAAATTTTGCCCTCAATAAGTGAATGGAGATAATAAACAGTATCTTTATTAAATTGAAATTGAACTCTAAATTCCTCATCATCAAATGTCTCCATGTGATTAGAACGTCGTCAAAACACAGGATCTCTGTGTGGCTCCGATAAACGATAAAAAAATCATGTAATTCGTCGTCCAAGGCATTAAATACATACATTTTTAATATTTTTCTATTTCACAACATACAAAATACGTATACTAATTCCTTCTTGAAAATGACCTGTCAAGTAACAAACTATCAAATAAATTCCTTATCTGACAGATGATCTAACCTATAATTTACTTCGAACTTTATTTACCAGATACGCTTAACAGAAGATTGTGAAACGCAAACGATGACTTTATTCGTCAGATAAGTGGCAAATAGCTTATTCGGGACTTTATTTGGACATTGTGAAACAGACCCTAAGAGATATTTCGGGTAGATTGGAAATATGCTGTTTTAAATATAACGTTTGGTCCGATATTTAAACGCAGCACAAAAACATATGCCAACTCCTGACGTCATACATGTGGTTGGCTGTGACTCTAACGGTTGGCAAGTAGCTTTGCATTTGCAATATCGGGTCGAGTCATGACCTCTCGTTTTGGTACTGGCGCGTGATGACGCATTTTCGCGCTTGTAAATATGTTGTATACAAATTTATCTAAACTGAGTTAATATATTCATAAAGTTTATATTTTATATATAGACCAGCTGAATACAGCCACCCTTGGCTGTGGCTTTTTAGGGTTTCGTATCCAAAGGGTAAAACAGGATCCTAAGATTCCGTTGTCTGTCTGTCTGTCACCGGCTGTATCTCAACACTCATTTGCAATAGCCATTTTGTAAATTAATTTCTAGTCATTTCAGTGGATAGTTTTTGAATTTCGTGGACACAAACGTACAGAAGCTAAATTTTTGTATATAAAGATTGTTGTGAAAGTTTTTAAGAGAAATTAAATTTTACAAATTTTATTGTTTCATCTTACGTTCAGAGATTATCACTATAAATAATTAAATTATTTTTATTTTTGATAGTAATTTGTTAATACATACTGGTATATTCCACTCTTACTTTTAATTATCTTTTAGTCTTCATTTTTTTTATGCGAAAAATTCAATTCAGTCAAACGAGCAGACGGTTCACCTGATGTTAAGTGAATACCGCCGCCCATGGACATCTGCCACAGCCGAGGGTTACAGATGTGTTGACAAGTTGTCAATGACAACCTTTTGAAAATTGGGCTCCGGCTACCACACTCACCAGACGAAACGCGAAAGTATATCATAAGTATATGTCATACTTCCACTTTACGCTGGTCTTCTGTGAGGTCGTGGTACTTACCCAGACGGGCCTGCCCATTCATGCAACAGCCGAGGCTGCTGTGTGGCCTTTCCACCGTAAAAGACTCATTACCACGAGGACGGGAGATCGATTCCAATTCCACTCCTGATATTTTCATGAGTTGGCATCTTTCTTATTGAATAAAAATTTTTTTTTTAAGTTTTGCTAGCCTGGTTAGCCTCGTCAAAGTTTGGTACGGTACCGCCATCCTAGGGTCATTCGCATTTACCGATGATGAATCCCAATTAGGTCTGCTCCAGAATTTTCGAAGACACGGTTTGGCACGAAACGCGAGCGAAAAACAACATTATCGGCGAGTTTCCTCGAAGCTGATACGGCTTTCTTTTGTCCGCGGGCGTGCGCGTCGCAGTCCGCTAGCACGCCCGAGCAATCGATCCGCACGCTGGCGACGGCCGAGCGGATAGGTGGTCGTTCTAGCCGGATAAGCGGAAATTCCGAAGCATCGCTTAGTCTATCGCTTGTGCAGTGACGCCTTTGACTTACGGTGAGACGCAGCACTTACGATGTTTTGGACGTGTCATCGTGACATGTTTTGTGTTTAAGTTCGTCGACTGCATCACCATAGAAAAGAATTTCAAAAGAGGTCCCAAACAAAACATCCTTGTCTAAATGTATGCAAACTACTAAATATATACTTTGTTCAAACTCATTATTATTGCCATTGTTGGCCTAACCCCGCAGATTTTCTATGATGGTTCTTCAGGAAACGAAACGGTTGACTTTAACGGGATATTAAACTAAATTATAAATGTGCTTACACACATAATTTCGTATATAAACGTAAATAAACTTTAATAAATAATAACGTAAATAAACTTTTGGGTTAAGGTCTTATTGTAAGGTTGAGTTATTGGGTTTTCCAATGCACGTAGACGAGCGCGTACTCCGTAGTCGACATCCTTCACTCCCGATGACACGGTTTCGTGCTGAGTGCCACCGTAGGAAGGTTAAGAGCCCCTTATCGCCTCTTATCGCCTGGTACGTACCTAGGTGCCGCCCCATTTGCTCGTTTGACCTGACACCTCAGTTATCAGTTGAGCGTCGTGATAACCGCTGTACCGTCACCGTACCTGTTGATTTTACCTTTTTAACCGTTGACAGTACCTTTTTTTTTTAAATGAAACTGTGAAAAATCAATTGGTGCCTTTCTCAACTTCCGGTGGACTCGAGTGCTGCGTGTTTGGTGGGTGATAGTGTTGTTAGAATTCGGTTGGAACTTTTTCATTGCAGCCATTTCATTTAGAACGGCATGAACAATCAAATAAGGAAACAACTGGGCTTATCAGATACTTAAACTGTTTTCCCAATTGAATTTTCAAGTCGGTTTGGCATTTGGAAGTCTGCAAGAATCTAGATGATTTTCACATGTATTTTCCCTCTATTTGGAAGTAGATATTAAAATCAAATCGACTTATCTTCACGAAATATATTATTAATGTAATTAAATATCAAAAAATATTTATGTCTTAATCATGTTATTTGTAATGATGGACATTATTATCCCATTCACATGTATAGAGAGTTCATTACACATTATCCGATGATTTCTTATCTTTGCACTTAGATCAATAAATCGATTTGCTATTTTAAAACATGTTCAGTCATTGAGTAGTTTACAGTATCACCGAAATCGTCTAAGACACCTAACATGACAACAGATGCAACTACTATCCTAAAAATAAGAAGAGAAAAAACAATTGAAAAAAATTCTAACACTAAAGTTGTTGTAGAAATTAATAAATAAATAACTTCATTATACTATGAAGTTATTTCGATATTACGATTTAGATTAGTTAGTTATTACGATCTCAAAAACTACAAGAAACAATTCCAGATCAAAGAATTAGGTTCAAATCTGTGGTCAATAGATAAACTTCCATTTTATCCTGCGTATAAAATGTTAGTGTAGTAAAAATTCTACTTTCCTTACTGTTGTAGAATTATTTCGATTCGTATTTAAGATAATAAAGTAAACTTTGTCCACTATCATATTAGCCGGTCAAAATGTCCAATACGTCTTTAGAAGATAAAGTTAAGCCTAAAGACACTGATGCAGATCAAAGCGAGTCTATGAAAACCGAGTGCGTGGGTGAAGCGAGTGAATTGTGCCATAGTGGAGTGCGAGTGAAGATGGAGGCTGATGAGGACGATGTGAAGAGCGCTGGTCATCGTGAGAACCGTCTCACCAGCATCATCGACCAGCTGAGGTGCCAGAGCAAATTGAAAGGTATGTCGTAGGTAATTAAATCCAAATAGGTATCATTATTCTGGGTAAAATTAAAAATGTCAACGGTATTCGGCCATGACGCATAGTTTCGTGAAAAATTATATATGTACTATTTTTAAATAAAATATGTAATTTGTGTTTCGATTAATTATATTAGCAAAATGTTACATTTTTATTTCCTAATATTTTGTCACAATTTTGATTTAAAATTTGTACATGCGTAATTATATTATGAAGCATCTGAAGACTTAAATGTCATTAAAATAAACAACAATGGTGAAATAAACGACTGCTATCTTGATAACGATTAAAAAAGGCGACGAAATCGACAAAAAGATCGGATAGTTGCATCGTAATTATACATAAAAGCTAACCAGCGCACCATAAATTATTTTCTAATAGCAAATAGCACGGCAGCGACCGTAACAGGAACAAAGTCGCAACCTTTGCTCGTGCGATGCTATCGACGCCGTGAAATGCAAATCGCTTAGTGGATTTATAAAAGTAATTACGGCGAAGACAAAAGGCACGCGTTGCCCGCGGACAATTAGGGGTCTCCACGTCGGTCTGGATCTGGCAACAATAGGCGCGATCGCAGATAGCCGATATCGCAACATCGCGATGTTTCCGCGCTCCGAATTGGTTTGTTTAAGAGGCAACACTTGGGCCTGTGCGCACCGTTTGAAATTAAACCTACCGATTGCGATCCCGTGTTTGTTTATTCGATAGTGAGGCGGGCAATTGTTTTTGCACTGTCCTATGCTAATGTCGCTGGGGATTCGATTTGATACTCGCCCGATTAACGCGATAAATCCCGCCGGTCGGATTCGATGGCGACATCTGTTAGCCGTTAGAAGTGCGAGATGTAGTTTTCGATATTCAAATTTCGATTTGCATTTGCGCAAGCGATATGCGATCACAATGCAAGCTGTGATGATCTGTGGAAGAGCTAAGAATATTTGTATTCCTCTTTTACAAGTAACTTTTTCTCATTTTAATTTGGTAAGGAGTCCGGGTACAGTTCACCTTTAACTGCTGCATAAATAGGTCATCTAGACCAAGGAAGTAGGCCTCACAGGAGACTCTCATGAAGTAAAAGTAAACTCATCTATATATATTACTTTTTTTATCCAATATTAACAACATTATATCTATCTAAATTACCATTATGCAATAAACCTAGTCCCCGTGGCATGCCAAGGACGCTAGTTGCATTTCCTCGCTGAATAGTTATGCTTAACCTTTGGGCGAGAAAAGAATCTGTAAACCGTAATTATTAGTTTAATCAGCAACGTGAAATATCCGAATCTTAGCCGTTTAAGGGCCTTGGAGCTTACAATGCCCTTAAGAGGCTAAAATTTAGGAGCTAAATGAAGCCAATGTCAGTAGGTTGTCAAGGCTGAAAGGCTGAAAGTGATGAAAGGCAATATAAACAAGAAGACAGTAACGTTGTTTAAATATTTTAAAGATATAATCATCTTCATTACCTCTATTCATCTACTCCAAATTTGGTTTCGTTGATATATCATTTATTCTCCCATAATGACACCCAATTCCTCTCGGGCAATTCACCTTTAGGTCTTTCATTTATCTTATAGCCCATTACATTAATGTTTAAGACGAAGCTGGTAATATGAGCTGGTCCTCTTTATTCATTCTAATACTTTTAGTGTATCTACCTTGCAACTTCTTTAAAACCAATGCTTTCTTACCCAATGCGGATATTTGTACATATTCCTTGTACAGTCCATCTTCTGATTCTTCTTCTCAATTGCAGGTTTCATGTATATTAAAGTATAATTTGCATACGTTAATGTGGGCTTCTTTTACAACGCAAATGACAGTTTCAATTAATATGTTAATAAATTATATCATACGCATATTGACATAAAAATATGAAGTTTTATAAGAAATTATTTATTTTTGTTACTAAATGTACAAAAATCGGCAGCTTTAAAAAAGTACCTAAATTATTTTTCAAATTCCAGATCCAAATCTAAAAAAGTATTTTAAATGTTCAAATTATTTTAAATCTCTAGTTTTTGTGATCTGTTTGTGTATGAAATCATTGTCTTTTGAATGATAATTACTTTAAAGCGTTTTGTTGTAGTTTTTAATTCCAGTATACACGGGTGAACTTTTCTATGAAAAATGAAATTGATTTGAGCCATCGTGAATAAAGAAAGAGAATTAAAGTGACAAAATCCCAAAAGTAAATTCACAATTTAATTATGTTTCACAAGCAAACTTTACACTCTACACAGAAGTTCATTCGAAGCAGTCGTCTAAGAGCTACAAAAGCAATTTTGAACTATATGCTTAAATCTACCGTGATTTGCTTTTTTTATGTCAAAAGTTAGCAATCGAGCAGTTGATTCATCTGATGTTAATTGAATACCACCGTCAAATGGAAAACTACAACACTTGGTTGATTGGTTACAGGGGCGTTACCAACCATAAAATAGTGGGCTCCAGTTACCTCACTCACCAGACGAAATGTGAAAATATATACTCCGACTATACGTCGGTCTTCTGTGAAGCCGTCATAGTTCCTTAGACGAGCCTGCCCATTCGTGCAACGGCAGAATCTACTGCGTGGCCTTACGTTTAGGTTGCGACCACATTATAACCTCGCGAATGATGTAACAACGATCGATAAATTAAAATGGAGCATAGGGTTTTGCAATTTACTGGAATTAAATGGGCGAGTGTGGCGGGCTCAAACGAGAGCAAAATGCAAGGCATCTCGTCTGTGACGTGCACGTTAGGTTAATGCGCGGCGCGTGTCGGATGCAGTTTTCCCGCCAACCCGCGCGCAATCCGCCGTATCAGTGCTGCCAACTTAATGCCCGTTCAATTTATTCCACTTTCAAATTTCCATTTGCAAAATGGAACGGTCAGTATTTATTACACTTTTTATGTTTTGGTTTTTAATCTTCATTAGGTTTAAATAATCCTGACAATATTCTAAGGATTATTTTAACCTAATAAAAATGGACTGCGATGTATACATAGGTGACATACATTGTATGTAAAAATAACCAAATAATTATTTTCCTTACGTATAAAACTACTTTCATAGAATACTTAACTATTTGCCTCTTCTCTATGAAAATCGGTAATTATTATAATTTTATACTTTTTGGTATGGTATCGTGTCCTTCGGTAATCATGATGTTCTCGAAACGCTATCTTGCGCTACATATTACAGATCGTTAGGTTACTGTTAACTTTAATCATATATAAAATAATATAATATGCTTAAAGTTGACAGTAACATGAAAACCATGTAATATGATTTTAGAAACCAATGTTACAAAACAGAAATTTTCCATGTTTAATTTGCGATCAGATTATCATATTCATAATAACACAAAGAAGCGCCAGATTGAATAAAACCGTTTCGACTTCACGACCACGCATGTCGCGTACACAAACACAACAAACAGCGCGATCCAATTCAAATACGGACCCCATTAATCGCGGCAATCCTGGTAATGGAATCGTCAACCCGAGTAAGATCTTATGGCCGGTTTGTGACCCGCGATAGCGTGGCTCGAGCACGGTAGCTCCATCAATCGCCCTAATTAGCGGATAAAGCGGTCATTCAGCTAATGAAAGAATAAATCGCCGTCGAAACGCGCGGCCGCACTTCCGACGAGATAGGGTTAATCGGCGAACGGAATTTATGCGACATCGGTGCCACTAAAACACGGCGAATGGTAGCCGCGCCGGGCTGCCGGTGGAAAAAACGCGACTTCCTGATACTGGATCGTCGGATGTGCACTCTATTGCGATGCAGTAGAGCTCTAAATGGCGTTGAAGGTGGGCGTAGCTTAGTTTCTATCGGTTGTGAGCAGCGCGGAGAGCAAGCGCAGTGATCTATAGACGCCGAGGCGCACGGAGCAATCTGCGGGGCGTAATGCCGCCACAGAAGATACACGCAGAGTGGTTTGTTTTACGCTTCGGTTCTATCGTCCGGTGCTTTTTGGTTTCGCGTTTTATGGAAGAGGTGCCAGAGAAGCGAGCGGCTACCGGATCGAAGCTATCGCTACTCCATAGACATATTCGATACCAGAGTAGCTGCTGACTTGCCAGCCTTCCAGGGTTAGGCACTTACAACATGGGAAAAAGAGCTTTATGTAGAAGCTTTCCTTCCTAAATTCAAACGTGGCTTTTGTAGCAACCTGTAAGATGATCTGTGCTTGTTCCAACGTCATCAATTTTGGTTTTATAACTCATTGACTTGTACCTTTACCAGACAAGTAATCTTTCGTTTGCTGCAAACCAAATCAAAGAATCTTTCCTTTGTTAACGTCGTTTTAATGATTAGAAAGAAGCAGAGTTACAGAAAATCTAGAGTAAATTAAACTAAGCTAGGCCGCGTTGAAATGAATTATTAGTCGTTTCAAATGATCGACGAAGTTGTCTGTCCATAATTATTGTTGAAATCTTGCATTGTAAATTATATCGACAGTAATTCGTCAACAAAGAAATATAATCACAGTACGCCGGCGGCTTACAATACCTATTGCAATGTGCTGCACAAGATAACGTCGATAAACGTTTCGTCACGACATTTCTTATCTGCGCTGATGTCGACTGATTGTGCCGACGTCTGACGATTTATTTAGTCGTCTTTTTAATGTATTTGTGTTTTTTTTTCTGTAAATGAAATCATCGGAATCGATAAGCTGGAATTTTTGGACATTAACATTATCGGGTTAAAAATAAATCTTACTTCATTGCAGATTTTCTCGCAAGTACACCAGCATTGAATTCGAAAAAAATTTTTATCGAAACTTTCATTCCTTATAGGGCTAGTATAGCCCCTTTCTGATTGTAATTCAAGAAGTCCGGACGTGTGTGTTTTCTAATTTGTAGATAACAATTCAGATCCATTTTTAAGAAATCTGCCGTAAATGTATCAAGCCATTGAATCTGATGTTGTATGAATCCTGATCTCACAGAAGGTCGGGATAAATGGAAGTATTTGATCTTTTGCATT